TTTTTTGGTACTGGGGATCGAACTTGGGACCTTGCACTTTCGAGGCAGGCGCCAGAACCACTGAGCTAAATCCCTGGCCCTAGAGGTGGCTTTTGATAGAGACATAAACATAAAAATAGATGAAATTTGGGCAAAGGAACAGAGCCTAAAGCCCATGACCCCAGAAGTGTTTATTGTAACTCTAATCAGGGGCTACCCAGGACGGAAGGGGTGGAGAGAGGAAAGTAGGATTCAGGGGAGATGAGTCCATGGTAGAGCATGTGCCAAGCATTCCTGAGGCCCTGGATTCAGTGCCTAGTATGACACACACACAGAGAAATAGGGAAGCCAGGTGTGGTGGCACACATCTGTGACCACAGCACTCTGGGAGGCTTCGGCAGGAGGATGGCAAGTTCAAGCCCAGACTGGAGAACTTAGAGCCTGTCTCAGAAAATTTTTTTAAATATTTAAAAGGGCTGGGGATATAGCTCAGTGGGAGGGCCCTGGGTTCAATCCCAGCACTGCAAAAGAAAATGATAATAACAATAATAACATGGAAGGAAGGAAGGACTGATGACACCCTTCCTACAGCTGCTAATCACATCAAGGCCCTGCCAGCTGGGGAGCAGCTCCCGAGGGCCACCTTGGTCTATTTCTGATGGTTCATTCTTTTTAAAAAATTTTCTTATTAGTAGATATGTGCATTACATGATAATTACATTTATCACAGGGAGTAGGTACATGTGCATAATACATCTTAATTCTTTTTTGGTACCAGGGATTGAATTCGGGACCTTGCACTTTCGAGGCAGGCAGTGGAACCACTGAGCTAAATCCCTCGGCCCTTTTTTTTTTTTTTTTAATCCCCTACCCCTCCCCTCCCTCCCTGCTCTTCCCAACTCTTTGTCCCCTTTCCATTTGCAAAAGCTCTGTAGCTCTATTTTCATCATTTTCCCCTTCAGGTTTTTTTTTTTGGTACTGGGGATCAAACTCCGGACCTTGCACTTTTGAGGCAGACTCAGTGCCACTGAGCTAAAACCCCGACCCTCTTCAGTTCTTTTTTTTAATCCCCTTTCCCTCCTTTCTCCCCTCTTCTCTCCTCTTGTTCCCCCATCCATTTGAAAAAGATCTCCCTGGGCTGGGGATTTAGCTCAGTGGTGCTGCTGCCTGTCTTGCAAGTGCAAGGACTAGAGTTTGATCCCCGGTACCAAAAAAAAAAAAAAACTTAGAAAAAAAAAGATCTCCCTACTTCCTATTTATCTTCAAAATATATATTTTATATATAAATATATAATATATATATTCTCATACAAGGGAAACCATGAGATATTTAAGTATGTGTCTGACTTATTCCATTTAATATTACGATCTCAAGTTGCATCCATTTATCTACAAATGCCTCGTTTATCTTTCGTTATGACAGAATAGAACTCCATTGTTTTCTTTTTCCATTCATCTGTTGGCCATATAGGCTGATTCAAAGATTTAGGTATTACATACTGTGCTGCTATAAACACGGGTATGCATGGATCACTGCAATACAATGTCTTTAACTCTTTCAGGAAGAGACCTAGAGAAGAAATACCTGGGTCAAATGGAATTTCTGTTTTTAGTTATTTGATAATCTCCACACTGATTTCCCTAGAGGTTGGATCAGTTTAACTTCCATCAACAAAATAGATGGATTCCTTTTCCCCTGTACCTTTCCAACATTTGTTATTATTTTTTGTTTGTTTGTTTTCTTTTTTTCTTTTTTTTTTTTTTGGTACCAGGGATCGAACTCAGGACCTTGCACTTGTGCAGCAGGCACCTGGAACCACTGAGCTAAATCCCCGGCTTTTGTTTGTTTTTTGAGACAAGGTCTCTCTATGCAGCTCAGGCTGGCCTTGAACTCACTATGTAGCCCAAGCAGGACTTGAACTTGGGGTGATCCTCCTGTCTCAGCCTCCCAAGTGCTGAGATTACAAGTGTGTGACACCATGCCCAGCTAATTATTATTTGATTTCTTTCTTTTTTCTTTTTTGTACCAGGGATCAAACTCAGGATCTTGTGTTTGCCAGGTAGGTGTGGTGCCCAGCTCATTATTTAATTTCTTTTTCATACCGGGGATTGAACTCAGGACCTTGCGCTTGCAAGGGAGGCGTCAGAACCACTGAGCTAAATCCCCGGCCACCATTATTTAATTTCTTGATGATGGTCATTCTTTCTGGAGTAAGACAATACCTCAGTGTTGTTTTAATTTACATTTCTCTAATGGCCAGTGATGTTGAACATTTTTTCTTGTATAGTTTGCAATTTGTACTTCTTGTGTGAAGTGTCTATTAATTTCACTTGTCCATTTTTTGATTGGATCTTTTATTCGTGGGAGTCTAATTTTTTGAGTTCTTTATATATGCTAAGCATTAGTCCTCTGTCTGAGGAATAGGTGGCAAAAATATTTTCCATTCTGTAGGTTGTCTCTTCACTCTGTTGGTTGTTTCCTTTGCTGTGAAGAAGTTGGGGTTTTTTTGGTACCGGGGATCAAACTCGGGACCTTGCGCTTGCAAGGCAGGTGGCAGAACCACTGAGCTAAATCCCCGGCCCTGTGAAGAAGTTTTTAATTTGATATGATCTCATTTATTGATTCTTGGTATTATTTCTTGTGCCACTAGTTCTGTTCAGAAAGTCCTTGCCTATGATTTAGGTCTTCAAGAGTTTCACCTATTTTATCTTCCATCAAATTAAGTGTTTCTGTGTTAACATTTAGATATTTGGTCCATTTTTATTGTAGTTTAGTACACAGTGGGGCTAGACTCAATGTTCTACATGTCAAAGTCCAAATTTCCCTCTGATGGATCATTCTTGAAGTCAAATAGGTTATTTTATCCATTTTTTTTTTTTTTGGTATTGGTGATTGAACTGGGGTCTTTGTGCTTTCTGGGCAGGAGGCGGAACCACTGAGCTAAATCCCTGGCCAAAATAGGTTATTTTAAATGTGCTGATTTGGCCTCAATGATGAAAAAGCATCAGCTGAGAGGAAGTGGGGATCTTCCTACCTGGATCAGGCCTGCCTCTATCACAGAATCCTAGAAAAATGCTATGGAGACAGGTGTGGTGACATACACCTATGATTCCAGCACTCAGGAGGCTTATGCAGGAGGATTGCCTCAAGTTCAAGGCCAGTCTGGGGTACATAGTGAAACCTTGCCCCCCCCCAAGAAAGAATGCCCTAAACTAATTCTATTGAACATCTCTTGCCCTTCATTAGGCACCTACTGTAAGTAAGGTACAGCTTCACGGAGTTTAGTAAGCTTCCAGCTTTAATCTTCACAACCACAGAATATGGGTAGAATTTCTCCCAGTGTATAGATGAGTAAAACAGAGGCTCAGAGAAGTGTAGTAACCTGCCCAAGGCCCCCAGGCCACACACTGCTGAGCTGAATTTGAATTCAGGAAGGTCTGGTTTCAAAACCCATGACATTGGGATCCAACATCCTGAGTCTCCTGAAGGAGACTTTAGGAATCGCTCATCAACCCACCTGCTTTGAAGATGAGAAAAGGAAGCCCCAGGAGGGAGACAGGACCTGGCCAAAGTCACTCAGTGGCAGAATAGGGACGAGAACCCAAGACTTCCTCTCCCAGTCAGGGGCAAAAACGAGTCAGCTGGGTGCAGCTCAGTGGGACAGCACTGGCTTTGTACATGAGAGCCCTGGATGCTGTCCCCAGCACCAAAATAAAGTAGAACAATGAAGCTGGCAGCATCTGGTCGTCACGGGCGAAGGGTCGCCTTCCTTGTCACCCGAGGCTCCTCAGCAGCTGTGGCCCGGACCTTCTTCTTTCACTTCACACTTTCACTTTGGCTCACCTCCCTGAGAGTTTCCCAGGCCTTGAGGTTCCTTTCCCAGATGCCCAGGGCGAGCCAGGGTCCAGCACCGGCAGCGTCCCAAACACAGCGCCAGGTGGCCTGGGCTTTCGCATTGCCGTGACGAGGGAAAGCGCTCAGCTTGCTGGTTCTCTTAATCTTACCTTTGTACGGTATCAGATCACAAAATATTTTTGTATGCATCAGCAGCTCCTCATATTCACAGCCACTGACACCAATAAGAAGGGTGAATCCTTTCCCCTGAAACAGTGCACCAATACAAGTCTTTTGTTTTCTTTGTAGTGCTGAGGATTGAAGCTAGGGCACACAGCAAGCAAGCGCTCTGCCACTGAGCCACATCCTAGTATGTTTGTATTTTTAATGAATTAATTAATTTTTTTATTAATTTTTTTTGAGACAGGGTCTTGCTATGTAGTCCAGGCTGGACTTGAACTCACTATGTAGCCCAAGTTGGCCTTGAACTCACAATGATCCTCCTGCCTCAGCCTCCCAAGTGCTGGGATTACAGGTGTGCACCACCATGCCCAGTGCTTTTATTTTTATTTATTTATTTTGCAATACTGAGGGTTGAACCTGGAGCCTTCATGCTAAGCTACATCCCCAGCCCTTTTTATTTGTATTTTAAAGCACAGTCTGGCTAAGTTGCTAAGCTTCCCAGGCTGTGCTGGGACTTGTGATCCTCTTGCCTCAGCCACCCAAATAGCTGGATGGCAGGTGTGCACCCCTGTGCCCAGCTCACATACACGTCTTTTTTTTTCACATACACATCTTATACATACTTTGAAAGGATCCATACCCCTACAGCGCTCACCACAGACCCGTCACAAAACAATGACAGAAGTCATCGCCCCAGGGCCTTAGTAAGAAAGGCATAGGTATTGTTCCTGTCACTTCACACATAAGAAAAGTGGCTCAGAAAGTTGAGGGGATCCACCAGAAGTCACCTGACGAGCATGACAGAAGTGGGATGGGAACAACCATCCAGTGTGGTGAACATGTTCCAATCGTCCTCACCCTGGAAGCAGCCCCTTCTAGAAGCCAGATGTTCCGACCCAGAGGCGGAGGATGGGGAGCTGCTTTTCCTGTCACTTGGTGCATCCTGTTGTTGTCGGATGTTATCTCACCAGGCCTTCTGCCCCCATGCCTACATTTCCTGCAGGCCTCACATCTCCCCACTCTGGACAGTGACCACATCTTGGCGACAACCAGTGCCTCAGCGAGCCACAGATGCCAGCTACCACCATCCCAGGGACGCTCTTCTAGGCTGCACTGTGCATAGGGTAAGCCATTCTTGATGGGAGGGGCAGCAACAGGCCAAGGAGGCATCTTGTCTCAGCCCCCTGCACTGGAAGCTTCCAGGTGGCAGCTGGGGATGGGGCGCTGAAAAAGACCAGCATTGTCTGTGCACTTTCACTTCCCTGTGACCAGAGTCAAGAGCAGCAGGCACTATTTTCTGTCTCAGCAAAGGTGTGACCTTGATTACACTCAGTAGAGGGCAACTGCCTCCGAGAGACTCCCCTTTCCCACTTCCCAGTGCAAGAGTTACACCTGGTGACTGGGGGATGTGAATAGAGGTCCAGCTCTGCCACTAATTTGTTGAGTGACCTTAGACAAATCACATTCCTGCCCTTGCAGTTTGCTCAAGGGTGAAGTGATAGAGTTGGATGAGACAGGAGGTCTTCATTCTGCCTCCTGGAGGCTGGCGGGTCCACAGAGGAGCCTGGACTGCCTCGAAGGGTGGACACAAATTGCCTGTTTTATGAAAAGGGGTCCTGTCAATAATAAAAGGGAGAGCTGCCCTTTCAGAAATCTCAAGAGCACTGCCAGTACAGTGGTGCATGCTACCCAGGAGGCTGAGGCAGGAGGATAGAGAATTTGAGGCCTGCTTGAGCAACTTAGTGAGAACTTGTTTTTAAAGAGCCAGGCATGGTGGTGAATGCCTGTAATTCCAGCCCACTGGGAGGCTGAGGCAGCAGTGTGAGCCCAGACTGGGAGACTTAATGACTTAGTGAGACTTTGTCCCAAAATAAAAAATAAAAAGGATTGGGGATGTAGTTCAGTGCAAAGACTCTGGGTTCATCCCCAGTACCACAAAGTAAACTAATTAATTAATTAAAGAGAATAAGATTTTTTAAAAGGCTAAGAATGTAGCTCAATGGTAGAACACCCATAAAAAAATCTAAGAACACTGAACTATGATTTACTTTTATTGAGCTTTTATGATGTGCCAGGCACTTTTTTTGTTGTTGGGGGGGAGATCAAACTCGGGACCTTGAGCTTGCAAGGCAGGTGCTGGAACCACTGAGCTAAATCCCCCCTGGCCCTTCTATTTGTTTATTTATTTTCCCTTTTTTTTTTTTGAGACAGGGTCTCCGTATGTAGTTTAGGCTGGCCTCAAACTCATGGTGATCCTCCTGCCTCAGTCTCCCAAGTGCTGGGACTTCAGACGTGCACTACCACATCAGACTGTGTGTGTGTGTTTGTGTGTGTGTGCCACTGGCAATTAACCCCAGGGCCTTGCACATGCTAAGCAAATATACTACTGGCTACACCTCCAGCCCCAGGCATGGTATTTTTCACAACTTCCTGGAGTAGGTAGAATCTCCCCATTTGAAGATGCTCCTAATAATAACAACAAACAGGGCCCAGGGATTTGGCTGGGGATTTAGCTCAGTGGTTTCAGCGCCTGCTTCAAAAGCACAAGGACCTGAGTTCGATCCCTGGTACCCAAAACAAAAAAACAAAAAAAACCCCAAATATACTCACCTATTATATTAATTTCTTTAAATCCTCACCAGAAACCCCCTTAACAGATGAGAAAGGAAAAGATAAAGCATTCAGTATCAAAGGAGGTCATTGCTGGGATTTGAACCCAGACAATCTGCTCCTGTCTCCCTTGCACCCTGATTTGGTCTTATGGTTTAAAACTTGATGTCCCCCAAGAGCTTCATGCATTATAGGTGAGACTTTTAGAAGGTGATTGAATTATAGGGGCCCTGTAGCTAATTTATTGTTGGGAGGTGGGGTCTGGTCAGATGAGGCGGGTCACAGGCGTGACTTGGAAGAGTCTGTATTTCCCTTCCTGGTTCTTTCCTTCATTCTGCTTCCTGGCTCTCATGAAGTGAGGAGCTTTCCTGCACCCAGGGTCTTCCACCATCAAGGACTGAAACTTCTAAAATGTGAGCCAAAAAGAAATCTTTCCTCCTTTAAGTTGTAGGTACTCAGTATTATGATCTAGAAATAGGAAAGTTACTAAAACAGATCTGGGTACCAGAGAAGTGGGGTCATTGTCAGGACTGTACCTGACCATGTGGTTGAGAAACCTCTGGAATTGGTTTGCAGGAAGAGATTAGAAGGAGATAGAGATGCTGATTGGAGGAGCAGCCCTAGAATGCTTAATAATGGGATAGTCTGAACAGAGCTCAGAAAGCTGATAAAAAAGCAGACAGTAAAGACCAGGCTCAGGAGGTTTCAGCTGGGAACAAGGATTCCATTGGTAGTTGGGCTAGAGATCATGTGTGTTATGCTTAGGCAGAAAATTTGTCTACATTTTGCTCATGTCCTAAGGCTGTGGGATATTGAGGTTAAGGATGGCAGACTAATCTGACAGAGGAAATTTTAAGGCAGCCTAACATTCAGGCTTTGGCATGGGTATGGTTGGGGGCTTTTAGCCAGCTCTACACTGAGAATCAAGGCAAATGGCATAGCTGAGTGCTTTCAAAAGTTTTGAGTTTCAACAGAAAGAAAGCTCCTGTAAAGTTGAGACCTGTAAGTTGAAGCAAAGGAGAGCTTGCTTGCTGAAAAGATTAGCATCATAAAGAAGCCAAGTACCTTGAGTCTGGACAATAGGAAGGATTCCCCCAGGGCATCCCAGTAAATAGCAAGACCTCACCTTTTGTCTTCAGACTTGAAGAGAGCCCCAGGTGAGCTAGTATTTGTTGAGATTCTTTTCACTGTGCTCAGCCATCCAAGTACTCAGAGGCTGCAGCAGCCATGATTCAAGGAGGCTCAACCACTGCTCAAGCTGACAGCAGATCTTAGAGTTGTCCATGTGGTACTGATTTTCCAGGCATGCAGAATGCAAGAGCTGTGGGGTCAGAAAAGCTTCAACCCAGATTTCAGAAGAGGGGCTGGGAGGCCAGCCAGTGTGCCCCCAAGGTGGACTAGATGCATTTTGCATAAAAAGATATGCATATAACCCAGAACGTGTTCCAATTCTTGAATGTACATAATAATGTCATCTAACTTTATTTACTTTCTTGTTTATATGTGAGGTTTTTTGTTTTTTAAAATTATTTTGTTAAAAAAATCTCAATAAAGATTTATTACTGTTAAAAAAAAAGATATGCATAAGTCTTTTGGGGGCCAGGGGCAGAATGTTATGGTTTATATCTAGATGATCCCCAAGAGCCTCATGTGTTCATAGGCAGGGCTTTTGGATGGTGATTGAATTATGGGGGTGCTATAGCTGACTTGCTGTTAGAATGTGAGGTCTGTTGGAAGAGATGGTTCACTTGGGGCATGACCTGGAAAGGTTATCTTCCTCTCAGCTTCCTCCCTTTGCTCTCTCTGGTTCCTGGTTGTCCTGAGGTAAACAGCTTTGCTCCACCCAGGCCCTTCCACCATGGCACTGACCATATCAGGTCTGAAACTTCTAAAATGTAAGCCAAAATAAGCTCACCTCCTTAAAGTTATGGGTGTTGGGTATTGTGTCCCAGCAATGAGAAAGTGAGTAAGACACTTAAGGTATATTCCATCTGAGATAGCCCCTTTCCATCCGAGTGGGTTTCATTAGTTAGCTTTTGAGCAGGCACTGGTGCCAAAGCATGGAAGATCCAGAAAGAATAGAAGCTCCATCCCTGGGTGTCCTCAGCCAAATGTTTTAACACTGCTGCAACCATAATCCTCTGCTCCAGTGTGCTGGGAACTGCACCAAGGGCCTCTGACATGCTATGTAATCACTCTACCACTGAGCCACATCCCCAGCTCAACTATAATTCCTTTTTTATTTTTGGACAGGGTCTCACTCTGTAATCAGGCTGGCCAGGAACCCACAAATATAGGCTCCCAGGCTGACGGGGACTTCCCATACTCCCACCTCAGAGCCTTCAGCGCTGGATTACAGACATGCACCTCCACGCCTAGCTCCAATAACTGCTTTCTTATAGAGGGATGTGGATGAAATTAGATTATGGCTGGGAGAGATATTTTGCAAAATTTAAGTTCCATACAAAAATTAGCGTGGGAGAAAGACAATGTGGAACTCGTTGGTGTCTGTACAGTCAGGCTGGGAGTCTCACACTTGGCTGTGGGTAAGATGAGCCCAAAAGGAAGATCAGGAAGGAAAGATAGCCAAGAAAAGACCCTTGTGGCAAAATTCTAGAGGTGACAAAGCAAAATGATGGGGTAGCTAGAGGTATCCAGTTAACAGGGCAGGGCTGCCTGCCTGGGGCTGAGGAATCCCTCTGCCCTACCATCTGCAGGCAGAGCAGCAGGCTGCAGATGGGCAACAATACAACAGGAATCCAGTGTGTGACTGAAATTTTACTTGTAGCTACATTTAAAGAGAAAAAGGAGCCAGGCATCGTGGTACATACATGTAATTCCCCCAAGCACTTGGGAGGCTGAGTCAGGAGGATCACAAGTTTGAGCCCAGACTGGACAGCTTAGTGTCAGGCAAGATATAAAATGGGCTGGGATGTTGCTCAATAGTAGAGCTCCCCTGGTTCCCAGTACCAAAAAAATAAAAATATAACAAAGCTATCTCAATGGAGAGCACATTCTTCCTTTGTTTCAGCCAGGGCTCTGCTTTCTGGTTTCATGGGGGGAAATTCCTGCTATTCCTCCTACTTTAAGACACCCTACACTGCCTGCAAGGTCTCTGCTCCCTTGTCTACCTCATAAATTCTCTAGATGCTCCTAAGGGATCTGGCTTTGGGCTCATTATGGGGTTTCCAAGATTTCCACTGGGCTGGGGTGTAGCTCAGTGGCAGGCTGCTTGCCTAGCATGTGCAGGTCATAGAAGTGTGGCCTTGGGGTCAATCTCTGGTCCCTCAACCCTTCCTCTCTGGATTTGACCCTCAATTCTGGGGGAGGGAAGAATTATTCTAAGCAGGCATGGTGGCACACGCCTGTATTCCCAGCACTCTTGGAGGCTGACACAGGAAGATCACAAGTTCAAGCCCAGCCTGGGCAACTTAGCAAGACCTTGTCTCAAACTAAAAAGTAAGAGCTGGGAATGTAGCTCAGTGCAAAGGCTCTGGATTCAATCCCCAGTACTGAAAAAAAAATTTATCCTGCTATCATGTGTCATGCCAGGTCATTTGCACTGCTTCACAGCAGTCTCTTATACGGCCATACAATGTATTTATCCCTTTCTCAGCTGATGGACATTTACATTATTTCATTTTGTTTTAATTTCAAAAATGCTGTCATGCACACTCCTGTCCATGTCTCCAGGTGTCTAGTTGAATGGGGCAGGGCTCCTGTCTCCCAGGCCCTTGGCACGACATTGCCAGGAACACCTTCCCAGGAGTGAAACTAAAATGCCCAAGGGTGGCGGGAACACCTTCAAGTTCAGTAGATGTGGCAAAGCTTCTGTCTAGCGTGACTGAGCCAATCACACCCGCACGGCTGAGTGCTGGCAACTTCACCTGGGTCCCACACAGATACTGTCAGGCCTTCTGTGGAAGCAAAATTTGCATTTCTGTGTCTCCTGCTGAGGTCGAGAACCTTTCCAAAGGAGTATGGACTTTTGCTCTTTCATACCCAATGTTTTTCTTATTTGTAGTTTTTTTCTCCTTTTTTCTTAAGTAATCTTGCATAAGTTGTCTGTTTTATTATCTTAGAAAAAAAAAACAACTAGCTTTGGTCTTTGTCAATTCTTTCTATTATTTTCCCAGGTCATTAACATTTGCTCTTATTATTTCTTTTTGTTCATTTTGTTTTCTGTTTTTTTGAGACAGGGTCTCACTATGTAGTCCAGGCTGGCCTCAAACTCATAGCGATCCTCCTGCCTCAGCCTCACGAGTACTGAGATTATAGGCATGCGTCACCATGGGCGGCTTCTGCTTCTATTTCTAACTTCTGTTTTCCACTGTTATTTTTCTAGTTCCATGAGTTGGCTATTTAGATCACTGGACTTTTTCCTTTCTAATATGAGCATTAAGGTCTATGAACTTTCCTTCCCTTATTATTCAAACTCATCTCATAAGTTTTAATGTGTTGCGGTTTCACACCATTCAATTCTATATATTTTATAACATCCCTTATGATTTTTTGACCCAGAAGTGTGTTTTTAAGTTTCTATACCTGTGAAGTTTGTTAGTCATATTTTTAAAGTTCTTAATTGCTAAGTACACTGCCTATGGTCAGGACATAGTTTTTATACTATAGGTCATTTTAAATATTTTTGAAATTTATATTTCACTTAGGACTTAGTTTCTTTTGGTAAGTGTCCACATCTGCTTTAAAACAGTGCATATTCTCCAATTATTTGGTGCTAAGTTCAATATGTGACTATTAGATCAAGCTTGTTAATTGCTGTATTAGTCAGCTTTATTATGGCTGGGACCAAATACCCAACACTGACAATTTAAGGAAAGAAATGGTTTATGGGCTTATGGTTTCTGAGGTTTCAGTCCATGGTCAGCTGGTTCCAAGGCAGAAACCTCACGTGGAAGGGGCATGGCAGAGTGAAGCTGATCCACCCAGAAACACCCAGGCTGTGATTTACTAATCCTCTAGGTAGTTCCCAATCAAGTTGACAATTAAGCTTAATGATCACAATTGCATATTTCAATCTTATACATTCTTATTAATGAATGTGTTGTTTGCTTAATCTATCAAATTCTTGTTTTTTTCTTTCTTTGAGCCAAGGTTTTGCTACATAGTCCAGGCTGGCTTCAGACTCATGGCGATCCTCTTGCCTCAGCCTCTCAAGTACTGGGATTTGATCCTTTTTCAAATCTACCTGCAGCCAAGTGTTGGGGTACACACATGTAGTCCAAGTCTTCTGAAGGCTAAATCAGGAGGATCACTTGGGCTTCGGAGTTCAGAGCCAACTTGGGCAATATAGCAAGACCCCATCTCCAAAAAAAAAAAAAAGAAAAGAAAATCTAGCTGGGCATGGTCATGCTGCCTGTAATCTCTGTATTCTCTTGAAGGTGATATACATACTAAAAAAAGAGTAACTGTCTGACATTCAAATTTAACTGGACTTGTATATTTTATATAGTATAAAATATTTTATCTTCTATAATTTATCTTCCTATCATTTGGGGTGAAATCAAAGAACCATCTCCCACCTCCAAATAGTTGTTAAAAATTCAGTGCCTGCTGGGCATGGTGGCACATGCCTTTAATCCCAGCATTGAGGAAGGCTGAGGCAGGAGGATCTCAAGTTCAAACCCAGCTTGGGCAGTGTAGCGGGATCTTGTCCCAAATTTTAAGAAATGGAAAAAGGACTGGGAACGTAGGTCAATCACAAGGTTCTAGGTTAAACTCCCAGTACTGCAAATAAATAAATAAATAAATAAATAAAAACAAAACACAATGGGAGCCAGGGATTTAGCTCAGTCACACTGCATCTGCCTTGCAAGCACAAGGTCCTGAGTTTGATCCCCGTTTCTAAAAAAAAAAAAAACAACAAAAATGTTCAGCACCTTACCAGAACTGGCAAAAATAAAGACAAAACAAAACAAAAGGCAAGGAAAACCCCCCATGATCTCCAGATTCCACTTCTTGGTTTTACTTTCCTCTTGGGGATTTCCCTTGTTTTTAAAAGGAAGTTTTAAGATTAGTTTTTGGCAAACAAGAGGCCAAAAAGCTGCCAGACCACTTCTGCTTGTTGTATTTCTGCAGACCTGGCTCCCTACTTGAAAGGAGAAAGGGCAAATTACAGGGCAACAAAATACAAATTGGGGGCCTGGGGATTTAGCTCAGTGGTTTCGCTGCCTGCTGCGCCAAGTGCAAGGACCAGAGTTCGATCCCCGGTACCTAAAAAAAAAACAAAAAACAAAAACAAAACAAAATACAAATTGGTTTTCCACCTACGATCCATCCTCTCAGGCAAAAGTTGATGAGTGTCAGGGGTCACGTGAGGTCATTTCTGCCTAACTGGAAAACTCTCTCCCTTTTCCCTTGTGCTGCCGCAGAGCTGGGGAAGCCCGTGGAGAGACAGGGCCCATGGAGGGATGCCCAGAGACGGAGGCGGCCAACAGCTCCATGGCCAACTTGGACTTCCACCCCATGAAGCACTACATGGTCCTGAGCGGGCCCCAGAGGGTAGCTGTCGCAGTGCTGTGCACGCTGCTGGGCCTGCTCAGCACCCTGGCGAACGCGGCCGCGCTCTATCTGATCCTATCCTCCCACCGGCTCCGCCAGAAGCCCTCATACCTGTTCATCGGCAGCTTGGCTGGAGCCGACCTCCTCGCCAGTGCGATCTTTGTCTGTAGCTTTGTCAATTTCCACGTCTTCAGTGGTGTGGACTCCCAGGTTGTCTTCCTGCTGCAGATCTGCAGCGTGACCATGACCTTCACAGCCTCTGTGGGCAGCCTGCTGCTGACTGCCGTGGACCGCTACCTCTGTCTGCGCCACCCACAAACCTACAGAGATCTGCTCACCCGTGGGAGGGCACTGGCGGCCCTGGGCGTCCTGTGGGTCCTCTCGGCGCTCGTCTCCTACCCGCCGCTCATGGGATGGAGCTGCTGTCCCAGTCTCTGCTCTGAACTTTTCCCATTGATCTCCAATGACTACCTGCTGGGCTGGCTCCTGTTCATTGCTGTCCTCTTCTCTGGCATCATCTACACCTACAGCCACGTCCTCTGGAAGGCCCATCAGCATGTAGCCAGCCTGGCTGAGCACCAGGACAAGCAGGTGCCAGGAATGACCCGGATGAGGCTGGACGTGAGGTTGGCCAAGACGCTGGGGCTATTGCTGGCTGTGTTGTTCGTGTGCTGGTTCCCTGCCTTGGCCCTCATGGTCTACAGCCTGGCTGCCAAGCTGAGTGACAAGGTCAAGAAAGTCTTCGCTTTCTTCTCCATCCTGTGCCTCATCAACTCCATGGTGAACCCTGTCATTTATGCCCTGCGAAGCAGGGAAATCCGCTCCTCTGCCCGGCACCGCCTGGCAGGCTGGAAGAAGTGCCTGAGGGGACTCGGGATGGAGGGAAAAGAAGAAGCACCCAGGTCTTCCATGAAGTCCTCCATCACAGAGACAGAGGCCGACATGAAAATCACCACAGGCCTGGCTTCCAGAGATCTGTTCTACTTAGATTCCTGATGAGGCCTCTTTCCCTATCTTTAAGAATCCAGGTCAGACAGCACATCCCTCTCCGCAGAGGGAGAAGGGGACAGAGAAAGGGGCCGGCCCTGCCACCTTTCTTAAACCAGCCCCAGTGGGGGCACTGACACTTTGTGCTGAGGAGTGTGGCCGTGGCTCTGGGAGGACAGTCTAGCCATGCTGCCTGCACACGGTCGTCAGGAGCACAGGGCCCAAGAAAGGCTCAGTTCACATCAGTTCAAGAAACCTTCCCACCGCTGGCTTAGGGCTGGCATCCTTCACAGGCCATGGAGCACACAGGGAGCCCTCAGGGCTGGCGTGGAGGACTTGCAGGTGCTCCAAGCCCAAGAGTGCTCCTGGGAACTCGAAGTGTCAGGTGGGCTGTCCGGGCATTGCCCACTCTTTTTTCATTGTCAGGACCTCCTTAGTTCTGAAGCTATGAAAGGCCCCGCCTTCAGGCATCTGTCCCCCTAAGGACCAAGAACTGGGGTGTGATGCGGATGAAGGGTGTGACTTCCGTCTTTAGAGATAAATGGTGAGCCCTGCATTCAGGGCATCCTGCTGTTTGGGTAAGGGCCCTCCCAACCCCCTGATAATCCCTGTTCCCAGCACTGCGACCTCTGAGGTCCCTGGGGAACCCGGAGGAGGCTGGGGTCACAGAGATACAGACTCTTCTGAATATTGTAGTGACACTATGATGTCCTGCTTGGTGGTGCTCCCGGGAAAAGGAAGCTACTTACAAAGGTCCTCTACACCCCAGAGTGTTCCCTCCCACCACCATTCACCCTCTTTACATGCTCCATATCCCTATGATGCAGGACAAGCCGGAGCAAGCTGGAGGAAGGGACATTGCCTACCTCCTGGCAGGTGCAGGGCCAGGCTGCCACAGTCCATTCACCCAGCAGGAACACAGCCTCACTTGTCTGAAGATCTCGGGGCACCTGGATTTTACATATCAGAGGGGCTGGCTTCCCTGCAGAAGGGTTTAAGATAGGGGTGAGGGAAACTTGGTGGTGGGAAGGATTGCAGAGGCATTCTGACACCATCACAATAAAAGGAAAGACACTGATTAAAGCTTTCTTCCTTCAATATGCACATGAGAAGGCATCCCATGTCCATTCACTCTTCCATCCACCTCGTAAGTATGTGCAGGCTCTGTGCTGGGTCCTGGATACCCAGCCAGAAAGGAGACTCTGCCCTGATCTGGGGCTTGGGGAGAGCATGGATTCTACATTCTGATCAGAAGAAAGCCAATAAGCAAATAAAGATAATTACAGGTGGTACAATGAAGGGCATCAGCAAGTTCATGTAATAGGAATTAACTGAAGTAACTTCAGGTGGGATGGACCTGCTGCGTACACTGGTCATACCTGCTGTGTACTCTGGTCATACCTGCTGTGGCTTTTATTGAGGTGTTTGTGTGTGTGTTTGTGTGTGTTTGTTTTTTGAGACTGGGTCTCATTATGTAGGCCAGGTTGGCCTTGAACTCAGTCCTCCTGCCTCAGCCTCAAGGTGCTGGGATTACAGTCATGCACTTTTTAGTATCCAAAGGGAAATTAGTTCCAGGACCTCTCCCCTCTCTACAGATGTCAAAAGCCATAGATAGGGGCCAGGGATTTAGCTCAGTGGTTCTGCCGCCTTCCTTGCAAGCACAAGAATCCGAGTTCCATCCCCAGTACCAAAAAATATATATATAAAAACCATAGATCTTCAGTCCGTCATATAAAATGGTATGGTATTTCCATATAACCTACACATATCTTTCCATACACTTTGTTTTTTTGTTTGTTTGTTTTTTATACATGTACTTTTTTTTTCTTTGAGACTTGGCCTTGCTGTATATTCCAGGCTGGCCTCAAACTCACAGAGATCCTCCTGCCTCAGCCTTCCAATGGCTGAGATCACAGGCATGCACCACCACCCCAGGCCTGCCACATACTTTAAGTTACCTTTAGATGACTTATAATACCTAATACAATATAAATGCTAAGCAAATAGTTGTTATACTGTATTGTCTAAGGAATAATGACAAAAAAAGTCTGTAGACTTAGTACAGGGGCAGACAGCTTTTTTCCCCCTGTACTGGGAATTGAACACAGGGCCTTCACAGGAGTTACATCCCAGCCCTACTGGGCATGGTGGCACATGCTTGTAATTCCAGCACTCAAGAGGCTGAAGCAGGAGGATTGTCACAGCTCGAGGCCAGCCTGGCCTTCACAGTGAGTTCAAGACCAGCCTGAACTGCATAGCGAGATCCTGTCGCAAAAAAAAAAAAAAATCCCCAGTCCTTTGTATGTTTTCATTTTAAGACAGGCTCTGGCTAAGTCGCTAAATTGCCCAAGCCATGCTCAAACCTGTGATCCTCCTGCCTGATGGCTGCAACTCTTTCAACATATTTGTTTATGATTTTGTATTTTCCTGTAACAAATTTCCACTAAGTGGGTGGCTTATAAAGACGGAAAATGTATTCCTTCACTGCACACCAGCCAGAGGATTTAGGCCCACCCTAATCTAGTACAGCAGCATCTTAATTCCATCAATCATAAGTGCAAAACCCTTATTTCCTGATCACTCCCAGGAGGAGGAAGCATTTGGCTGTCACGCTGGCCCTGCCTTCTCCCAGGAGCAGCACGGGAGCAGGGAGAGAGAGGCACAGATTTCACATCTGCCAAAGTTGGATTACTGCCAAAGTTGGATTCTGGTCCCACTTTGGCCCAAACCAGCTGCATGATCTTGGACAACTCCCTTCCTTGCCCTGGGCCTCAGTTTCCTCCCTTGTAAAATAGGAGGGGTAGGGAAGGGAAAGGTGCCTGAGCTCTCCAAGTTTCTTTCCAGCTCTGACAAGCAGCTGTTCCCACTCACTGCACCACGTATGGTCACGTGTGCTGTGGCTTGCACGTGAGGACTAGTCCTGATTGCATAGGCACAGGCTGTGGGAGTCTCTACCAATGACCTGAACCCCGGCCCCTCCAGTGTCTTTGTTTTATTGTTTGCTTGAGACAAGATCTTGCTACGTAGCCCAGGCTGGCCTAAAACTCTTGGTGATCCACCTGCCTCAGCCTCCCAAGTGCTGTGCACCATTATACCCTGTAAATGCTACACTCTGAAATGCCTCAATTCCCAAAGCGACCTCAATAAATATTAGGCAAAATGATCACACCTGCTCTTTCAGTGCCCACTTTTCCTTCTAGTCCTCTCTCATGATGCTTCTTCCCACCACTGTTCTACCTCATTTCTGCCAGGGCTGTTAAAACACCCCTCCAATCTGGTCTGCCCACCTCTGTGCTTTTCTCAAAACACAGCTGAAAATTCCCCTATGGTGGCGCTTGATGGCACATACCTATAATCCCAGTACTTGAGATTATATCGCTGAGAGTTCGAGGTCAGCCTGGGCTACATAGTGAGTTCAAAGCCAGCCTGAACTGCATAGTGAGACCCTGTCTCGAAAAACAAAACAAAAAGTTCTTAGTCCTTTACAAGAGCGCGGCCAATGCCACCTTGAGTTTTTCTTCCTTGGAACGCCAGAGGGCGCTGCAGAGACGGACGCGTTGTAGAGGAAGCGGCGCAAGTCTAGCAATCTGGAGGTTGGCCCACCCCTTTTTCCTCCCGAGTCAATCGTTGACCCGAGGGCCGGAGCCGCTCCGCACCTGCGCCTTAGGAGGGAGCCGGGCGGGCGCAGAAGTAGTGATGCGGAAGCCAGTGGGCAATTCGTGGATAGTGGCCGGCGTGCTGCTGGCGTTAGTCCTCGGAACGGCGCAGTCGGCGCGAGGGGCTCCGCCCCGCTACACCCCGGACTGGCTGAGCCTGGACTCCCGGCCGCTGCCGGCCTGGTTCGACGAGGCCAAGTTCGGGGTGTTTGTGCACTGGGGCGTGTTCTCGGTGCCGGCCTGGGGTAGCGAGTGGTTCTGGTGGCACTGGCAGGGCGAGGGCCAGCTCGGGTACCAGCTTTTCATGCGCGACAACTACCCGCCCAGCTTCACCTACGGCGACTTCGGGCCGCAGTTCACGGCGCGCTTCTTCCACCCCGACGAGTGGGCCAAGCTCTTCCAGGCCGCGGGGGCCCAGTGAGTGTCCTCGGGGCGGGCGGCCGGGGCCGAGGGCTGGGGCGCCGGAGAAGGGTCGAACTGGACGCTGCGCACCTGATCCGAGGAAGGTGCATCTGCTTAGGCATCTGTAAGTCAGGTTTCAGGCTGGGGACGTGGCTCAGTGCAAAGACCTTGTATTCAAACTTCCAAAACAAAAAAAGAAAAAGAAATGCAAGTTTCAGAGAGGAACCACCCCTCCCTATCTACGCCTGAGCTAGGCGACACCTGCTGTCCCTTCCAGACTAAATCAGCGGCCTGGAATCTGGTCCTCGTTCAGTTGTGGGCCCAGACAAATCCCTGCAGGTCCCTGCAGCCTCCCTGGACACCTGCAGAAGGGAGCTGCCCTGTGCTCTCGATGGAGAGGGAGGGAAGGTAGCTTGGCCTGGGGCGTGGGGCTGCAGTACAGATTCTCCCTCTGCTGCCCTCTGCCCAGCTGGTGTGCCGTGCTCCTGGGCAGTTTGTGGTGTGTTAGGAACTGTGAGTCTGAGGCCAGCCTGAACTACACAGTGAGACCCTGTCTCAATAAATGAATGAATGAATGAATGAGTGAATTCTGGGAGACAGCCTCTTCCCAGACCCCTTCTTTGATGGATAAGATAAAAGAGGAAGGGACCTAATATCCTAGGCTGCAGATCTTAGGACTCCAAGGTGAGGGCTGTACCTACTGAGCTCAGGGTCTGCAAACTGGCCATGGGAGCTGGTTCTGTGCCAGTTTTTGTAAAGCCTATGAAGTGAGAATGGATTTTACATTTCCAAAGGATTGTAAGAAGAAAAGGAGAGATGATTGTACTACATACTCATAGCTCCTACAGTATACCTGTCCCTTGAAGTTCAGGAGTCCCCCACACCAGCCAGTCATCAGATCATCATATGTGGGCATTATCTACTTTTCTGCCATAAAAGTACATGAAATAGCAAATGATTAGGTTATTTCATCGCCTGCCTTTCTCCCAGCCCTTTAGGTCTTCTGTCACTTCCTTTTTTGTTTTCGTTTCTGTTTTTTGAGACAGGGTCTTGCCATGTAGTTCAGTGTGGTCTTGGACTCACTGAGTAGCCTAGGCTGGCCTCGAACTCATGGTGATCCTCCTGCCTCAGCCTCCTGAGTGCTAGGATTACAGGTGTGTGCCACCATGCCTGCCTTGTCACTTCTATAAGTGAGAGGTAATTCTGTAGGTTTGGTAAAACAGCTTGCACTGCTCTAATTTCCTATCACTAGTCCAGATCATTCTCCTTCAGGGCAAATGGTTAATGAAAGTTAATTATTTATACCCAAAAGGGTTGAAGAATGAAAGAACTAAAAACAACAAAAAAGAATCAGAGAGCTAGTTTTCTCTCACCTACTCCTTCCTTCCCTCTGGAGCTCCTCAGCTGGACACAAGGACTATGACTCAATCAATTTGCCATCATTCTTAGAATAATAGCCACAGGGTGTTATGGAGTCACTAATATAGTGACTCTCATCTCAGCACATTTCCTGTTGTCAAGTTCTCCCCACCAGCTTTGGTCTTGCAGTTGGGGATTGAACCCAGGGCCTTCACACTGAGTTACATCCCCAGCCCTTTTTTACTTTTTAATTTTGAGACAGGATTGCTAAATTGCTCAGGTTGGGCTTCAATTTAACAGTCCTCATGCCTCAGCCTCCCAGAATGTTGGGATTACAAGAACCCACCTGGCTTTCCTCACCACGTTTAAAGCTGAGGGAAGGCAGGCTGGGCAAGCTTGTGTTTGTAGCAACTGCTGCCAACTGCTCAGCATTTCATTCCCAATGCTGTGCTTTGCAGTAGTTGTAAATGTTTATTGGATCTTAGATGTTAATTAAATCTGGACATCTGCCTTTGTTCATTCAGTTTTTTTGTTTTTTTTTTTCTTTTTTTTTTTGGTACCGGGGATCGAACTCGGGACCTTGTGCTTGCAACGCAGGCAGCGGAACCACTGAGCTAAATCCCTGGCCCTGTTCATTCAGTTTTGACATCCACAGGTATGTGGTCTTCACCACAAAACATCATGAAGGCTTCACAAACTGGCCCAGTCCAGTGTCTTGGAACTGGAACTCCAAGGACGTGGGCCCCCATCGCGATTTGGTGGGTGAGCTGGGAGCAGCTCTTCGGAAGAGGTATGTGTCTGTGGACAGCTGCCTGTCCTCTCTTCTGCTCCAGCCTCCAGAGTTCTCACCTTCCTACTCTTGTGTGTTGTGTTTCCTAAATTTGCACTTAGCAAGTAGTCTGAAAGGCTTCTGGCCTTTGAATTTCCAGTATTGGAGGCTTAGAAGTTCTCACGTGACCAAAAGCGACACCATCAGAGAAGTTCATGGCCTTAACTTTAAGAACAAGTTAAGCAACTCCTGTGACCTGCTCAGTATTTCATTCCCAATGCTGTGCTTTGCAGTAGTTGTAAATGGTGATTGGCTCTTAGATGTTGATTAGATCTGGACGTTAGAAGCTGGACATCTTCTGTGTATTGGTTTAGAGTTTAGTCACATGATGAAATGCCTACCTTCAGTTCCTTCTCTTTTTTTGGTACCAGGGATTGTACTCAGGTCCTTGAGCTTGCGAGGCAGTTGGCGGAACCACTGAGCTAAATCCCCGGCCCTCTTCAGTTCCTTCTTAGTCTATGTATTGCGGCCTTATCCTTAACTTCTTACTGGCATAATGTTTTGACAATACCATTGCCGCAGACCAGCTGCAGTCGATGTAGGGTAGGAAGGGGAGATGTTCTGGGCCGACGATGAGAAAAGAACCTTCACAAGCAATGTTCAGGTTCCCTCTGAGAAGTCTCAGGGTCTGATTTATTTTTATATCTTTAAGCAATAGCTGGGAGGCATTGGGCGGAACATGTTTACATTTTAAGTTGCCTTAGCAATTTCTATTGAAGTAAAGATTATTTTTTTCTAGACAAAGTACAATTCCTCTAAGCTGTTTCATTTCATTGAACATCATGAATACATACTTAAAAATTACAGTTGTCCCCTTATTTACCCACACCTAAACAGAACAGAAAGTAATTTAATCAAAATCTTTATATCAGCGGGGTTACAAGCAAGATTTAATCAACTAAGTGTCAAACTTGTGGTTACCAGCTGGCCCTTGAGAAACTGCACAATGGTTAATATAGTTTGCTATTAGCTCTCTATTTTTCTATACCTCTATTCATCTTAACTAAATGTCATTTGGGTTCATAGTCTATGAGCAGGAGATATTTACAGCACTTTGAGAAATATTGAGTAACTTGCCTCCTTAATGCATTTACCTGTCTTAACTTTCTTTCTTTTTCCCATTTTCCACTATTTCTTTCATCCAAAGTCTGTCTTTCCAATCTTTTCATAAGACCCCTTTAGTAAATAGAATGTCAACAATAAGAGGGGGAGTCATAGTAGTGGGGGAAACAGTGGGGGTTTTAGGAGAGGTTTCTTTAGAAGTGGATGTGGCAATAGAACTAAGAGAAACTGGAATTTGGGACTTGTGAGCCAGATCAGATTTCAATATATCATTTCCAATTTGCCTCATGGAGAGTTTGTTTTTAGTCACAAGCACAATGACCTCTGTGATCAGCGTAACAATTATAAACATTATGGCTGGAAAAAATAAAACATGAGGGTACGATGTGTTCCACCCTTTCTTTCCCCCAGCTGGAACTTTGTCAAGCAGCAATGGAGGTCGGTTGGGCTTCGCCACACCATTATTTTTTATTTGATTCATGATAATTGTGCATACTTATGGGATATGGTGTGATAATTCTCTACACGTATGCAATATGTATGACCATATCAGGGCAATTAGCTTTTCCATCTCCTTAAACAGTTATCATTTCTTTGTGTTGGGAGCCATCAACCCACCACCTCCCCTTTGCAGTACTGGAGACTGAGCCCAGGGCCTGGTGCATGCTAGGTAAGTGCTGTACCACTGAGCCACATCCCCAGCCCAATTCTTTTCTTCTTCTTTATAAAATATATAATAGGGCTGATCTCCAGCAGTGCAAAAAAAGAAAATATAAATTGTTACAGCCAGGCGTGGTGAAACATATCTCTGAACCTAGCTCCTCAAGAGCCTGAGGCAGGAGGTTCACAAGTTCAAGGCCAGACTGGGAAAATTAGTGAGACTCTATTTCAAAATAAGAAATTTTTAGCTAGGCATGGTGGAACACACCTGTAATCCCAACACTTTGATCCAGGAGATTGCCACAAGTTCTGGGCCAGCCTGAACTACATAGTGAGTTCAAGGCCAGCCTGGAATACATAAATGCTGTGTCCAAAAAAACAAATTTTAAAAGGGCCTGGTGATGCAGCTCAGTGGTAGAAAGCTTACCTACATGAGGCCCTGTGTTCAATCCCCAGGACTGTGCAAAAAAAAGTAGTTACATATAGTATTGTCCAAAGCAGTATACCAAATCTTCTTGCTGAAGTGAATGATAAATAATTTAGGAAAATGGTTTTGAATCCCACCCTTCTCCATACCCTATGGGTAAATTTCACTGATACATAAAAGATGCTGTAACAGATTTTTCTTAAATTATTATTTCTTTGTTTAATGACAGTTGCTGCCATGTCTTTCTGTTTAAGGAACATACGCTATGGTCTCTATCACTCACTCTTAGAGTGGTTCCATCCACTATACCTACTTGATAAGAAAAATGGCTTTAAAACTCAGCATTTTGTCAGTACCAAAACAATGCCAGAGCTGTATGACCTTGTTAACAGGTAAGAAACAAATAAGTTTGACTATGTTTTGTCAATGAAATCAGAGCTTCCTATTAGTTAGATGCTTTTAAGGAGGGAAGGGGTTGAGCTGGCTGAGACAGGAGGATCACCATGAGTTCAGGGCCAGCCTGGACTACATGTGGAATACATAGTGAGACCCTGTCTCAAAATACCAAAGGGAAATGATGACAAAAACTAGAAGATATCAAAATAATAAAATTGGTGGTTGCATTAAGGCAAAATTCACTTTTCCCTTCTACTTTTCAACATTTCTTTAACTAGTCATATCGTCTTTGTAAAATGAAACAATCACACAAAACTCAGGATGACAGTGAAGTCAACTTCAGGTCCCTGCTTGGCTGCAGTTTTCCCTTCCATCAGTACCTTGGAGAGCGTGCAGTTTAGATAATGTGTAGCTTGGGTCTTCTTGTCTCTTACAAGCCCAAATCAGACCACCTGTGAGCCTCAGAGTCCCACTCTGTAAAGAGCCCGATTCTCTAGGGCTCAGGATAATGCGTGAAACATCTCTATCGCAGTGGCTGGTGCAGAGTAGGGAGGCTATCGCTGCTGTCATTATCATTATCTTAAAATGACCACTGTCACTTTGGCCTTTGCCACTACTGTTCATGTTTTATCCTTGATTTGCCTTGTCATACCTGAGGGCTCATAGGATGGTGGACCCTCCAGAGTTCCATAAAAGCCAGGGCAACTTAGGAACACCCTGTCTTAAAATACAATGTTTTTTTTTAAAGGTCTTGGGATGCAGTGCAGTGGGAGACACTTGTCTCACATGCATGAGGCTATCATGTACTCATGTCTCCCCACCCGAAAAAAAAAGAAAAGAAAGAAGAAAGGGGGAAGGAGAAAGAAAAGAAAGAAGGAAAGAGGGCAAGTAGTTTCTTCAAGGCCAGAAAGATAACTGGGTTTCTGATCCAGTAATGGCCAGGTCTATCCAAGCTGTAGGCCTTCCTTAGTAAAGTCATCTTGGGATGGGGTCTGATGCAAGAGGGGTTCCCCCCTTCTAAAATGAGAATCCAGACACAGAAGGCTGCCTCTTGCCATGTGTAGTGGCACACACCAATAATCCCTGCACTACGGCAGGAGGATCGCAGTGAGTTTGAGGCCAGCCTGAACTACATAGTGAGACCTTGTCTCAAAAAACAAGGCCAGGGATGTAGCTTAGTGGCACTGCGCCTGCCTGGCAAGTGCAAGGTCCTGAGTTGGATCCCCTGTAGGTACATGGGAGGGGGAGAACCCGTAACCATTTAGTTCTGAGAACCACTCTTTTGCAGTGCTGAGGATAGAACTCAGGCCTCCTGCATACTACGTAGTGTTCTACCACTGAGCTTCAGCAGCAGCCCAGAAGCACCACTTTTAATTGGCATTAGTCACTGGGAGGAAACCAGATTACACACACACACACACAGATTATAGCTCCTATTTCTAAAAAGAGGTTAAAAAAAAAAAAAGATGAGGATATGTACCAAAGCGCTGTTTGATTTTAACAGTAGTTATGTTAACAAAGTGATTTTTTTTATTGTTATTGCTATCATCTCTTTAGTTTTCCATATCCTCTGCATTGTGGTAATCTTATGGTACTTTCAAAATTGGAGGAATTTTTTTTCAACGTTGGGGATTATACCCAGGCCCTCATGCATGCTAGGCAAATGCTCCACCCTTGAGCTGTACCCCCAGCCCTAATATCTGTTGCAAAAGTGAGCCTCACAGGCTGTCCTGTGAACACATTCAGATAATGAACTGTTCTGCTCACTGCTTTCCAGCTACAAGCCTGACCTCATCTGGTCTGATGGGGAGTGGGAATGTCCTGATACTTACTGGAACTCCACCCATTTTCTTGCTTGGCTGTACAATGATAGCCCTATCAAGGTAAGTATCCATCTGATTTATTTTTTATTTGTTATGATAAAAGTAAGTATAAGGAGCCAAGATATGGAGTACTAATAAGGACAAAAGCAGCAAATAATATCAGCGTGTAGTCATTGAGCCTGGAGCACCTAACAGATATTAAAGGTTTCTCCCTTAATTCTACCCCCCTGGAGTATAAGCTTTCTTTTTCTTTTTTAATTCTTGATTTTGACAACATAGGTCTAAGTAGTGTTAACTTCACATGAAAGAGTAGAAATAGTATGTTGAATTCCTAGACCACTGCAGAGGAAACAGACACTACTATACAAACAAATATTATGAGAAAACATTCCAAAATTATGTGCAAAGCATAAAATTAAGTGATAGGAATGACATGTAATGTCAGTGGCTTCATGGACCCTATACTGATCATATAACTTAACTCCGAAGGAACTAGGTCATTCCCTTTCTCCAAATTCTTGGTGGTACCTTGTCTACCCAAAGCCCCTACCCTAATCAGCACTATTAGCCAGTGTATAGTGGCTAACCATTTACACTTTGTATTGGGGTAACTTTATCAAGCAGCAGAGGTCTTAATCTTCACTATAGAAAATTTTTAATTTTTTTTTTTACATATTTTAGATATGTTGGGATTTTTTTTTTTTTTTTTTTTTGGTACCGGCGATCGAACTTGGGTCATTGCGCTTGCGCAGCAGGCGGCAAAACCACTGAGCTGAATACCCAGCCCAGATATGTTGTGGATTTTAAAGAAAAATCTAAATATAAAACCAGTTTAGGGGATGGGGATTTAGCTCAATGGTTCCGGCACCTGCCTTGCAAGCACAAGGTCCCAAGTTCCATCCCCGGTACCCCCCCCAAAAAATAATAGAAAAAACAGTTTAGGGGCTGGGCGTTTAGCTCAGAGGTAGAGCACATGCTTAGCATGCCCAAGGGCCTGGGTTCAATCCCAGCAGAAAAAAAAAACAAAACAGTTTGAACTGAGGCACTTTGATAGTTTCATAAACCTCCAAGGATTTTACTGGGTAGCTATTACTAAGCTTGGAAAGTGGAAAGAAATTTAAAACAGAAAGAGACCCCATGTGATAACTGAGATGGATTCAAAGTAGTTTTCAGGAACTTGCATGTAGAGACTATCAGTTGTGCAGTTGTCCCAAGGTCACGTCTGATACAGTGTCATCATTGTCCACATATCTATGTTCTCAGCAAGTCTCTGCTAGATCTTTAAGGGTAGATTTATTTACCTCAGGTACACTAGAACCTGGCAGAGTATGAACCTCATACTGAGTAAACAGTCATTGAATGAATGGGTGCCAGATGTTCTCTGAAATGGTTTTCATATACCTGTTCATTGTGTGGGCCCCTGGAACTAGGGCATTTTTTGGGTTTTGGTCAAGTGTGTGAAGTGAAGGAGCAGGGGAAAAAATTAAGCAAAAATGCATGGTTGAAAAAGAGAAGAAAAGGCTGGGTATTTAGCTTAGTGGTTCCGGTGCCTGCCTTGCAAGCGCAAGGTCCTGAGTTCGATCCCAGGTACTAAAAAAAAAAAAAAGAAAAATAGAAGAAAATATCAATCCCAGTGCCATTTTAATAGCACAGCTAGTGGGCTGGGGATTTAGCTCAGTGGTTCTGGCACCTGCCTTGCAAGTGCAAGGTCCCAAGTTCAATCCCCGGTACCAAAAAAAAAAAAAGCACAAGTAGTTGGCAATGGTGGTAATCTCTGTTACTCAGGAGGCTGAGCCAGGAGGATCACATATTTGAGGCACAGCCCGGGCAACTTAATGAGACCCTGTCTCAAACTAAAAAATTTAAAAGGATTTGGTTATAACTCAGTGGTAGAGCACTTACCTAGCAGTCCCCTGTACTGCAAAAAAAAAAAAAAAAAAAAAAAAAAGCACAATATGCTGCTTTGGTCTCTCTTAAAGAATTTCAGCTCCCAGTATGGTGGTGCAGGAGGCTGAAACAGGATCTCTGCAAATTCAAGGACAACCTGGGCTACATAGTGAGACCCTGTCTCAAAAAAAAAAAAAAGGATTCAGTTCCACAGCAAGCAGAACCTGTGGTGCAGTCCTGTCTCTGCTCATTTACACACTACCTTTGCAAGCAGGATTGTCGAAACAAGGACTTATTTATTGTGAGCCAGCTCTGTGGCATGGTGTGTGCCAAGCCTTGAAGCTACAGAATTGATGGTTTCGGCCTTAAAGAAACTGCAATCTGAAGAGAAAGAGACAGATTGCACTGTGGAATGATCAGTATGACAGTAGGAATCTGTCCAAGGTCTCCTCAATCTGCCAAATGCACAGGGTACTGCGTTAGAGCCTGTGGCCATGCAGAAGTTGAAGGCTGTGTCCACCCTTAGAGGACTGAGTGTACGAGGCAGGGTACTTAGCTTCTGGGGGCTCAGAGAACGGGAGGAGTTGGAGACAGGGATGAGGTGTTACTGACCAGCCAGCCACTCTGGCCAGGGGCAGGGTGTTGCCACTTTTAATCCTCTCAAACTCCAGCAAGGTAGGTGATCTTTTTCTTTTGGTGTGTTTAGTTGTTGGGGTTTTGTTTTGATTTGGGTTTGGTTCTTTTACAGACAGCTAGACTTAAAAGGTAGTCACCTGCCTAAGGCCCCCTGACTAGTAGGTGACTCTGAAAGCCCCAGCTGACCTTGGGTTGAGCTTGAGTTGCCCCTTTCAGTTCTGAGACCTTGTGATGCCCAGTCCGTGGTAATGAGTACAGGACCCTGGATCACACTGGCTGGAAATGATGAGTATTCTTCTGTTTTGCTTTGGCACTCAACTAGCATCCATGGGAAAAACTTCCATGGTGATGTGGGTGACCCTAAAACAGGCAAAAGGGGGAGTTTTAAGTGTTTATTATATCTCCTTTCTCAGGATTTTCAGTAATTGCCTTGTATTGGCCACTCTGTTATAAAATATACTGCTATAGGGCCAGGGATATAGCTCAGTGGTGCTGCTGCCTGCCTCAAAAGCGCAAGGTCCTGAGTTCAACCCCCAGTACCAAATAAATAAATAAATAAATAAATAACACTGCTGTACATTAAATATTGACATTAAGATATTCCATGTGATGGTTTCTTATAGTTCAGCTCAGCTTGGAAGAAAATGGGTATTTGTTGACTTTTCCACCTGGGGAAAGAAAGTTAAGGCTGTGTAGTGGGCTGAGGATCCTGGGCTGAGCTGGGAGGCCGTGGACACTGCCCAGGGACAGGCCCAAGGGGAGCACCCTCTCTGCCTCTCTCCTAGTGGGGTTTCCTAGGTGTTCTTGCACACAGGCTCTCTGGCTCTGGCACTAGGTATCTCACTTGATCTTAGCCAAAAGGCTGAGAAGCGATGGCACTAGGTATCTCCACACTGGGTTTCAGCCTTAGCACTCTTGATATTTGGGGCCAGGTATTTCTTTGTTATCGGAGTGTCCTGTGCAGTGTCCCCCTGGCCACTTCCCCTGGATGTCACTGCGGGAGTGACAACCTGAAGTGTCTCTAGACTGCCAAATGTCTGTCCTCTTCAAAGCAAAACTGCACCTGCCCTGGTCCTGAACCATCGCTTTAGACAGACTGTTCCTCACTTCCAAATATACTGTGGCCCCACTATGCCACATGGAGGGGAGGAGCTAGGTGGCGTCTCTCCCGTGACCAGGCCCCCTCTCGCCTTTAGGATGAGGTGGTAGTAAATGACCGATGGGGAAAGAACTGTTCCTGTCACCATGGAGGGTACTACAACTGCCAAGACAAATTTGTGCCCGAGAGCTTGCCCAACCACAAGTGGGAGATGTGCACCAGCCTGGACAAGTGGTCCTGGGGCTACCGGCGCGACATGAAGTTGGCCGATGTCTTGAGCGAGTCTGAAATCATTGCGGTAAGGGCCTCTGAGCCTCTGGCTTGCTAACTACTCCTCTCAGCAGACTCCTAACCAAGGGTGACAAGTGTGGGTCAGCAGACCTTCTAAGGCTGTTGAACATGCAACAGAAACCTGTCCTCAGAAAGTGACTGTAATTACAGAAGAAAGTTCTACATTCAGAAATGGCCTTCCCGGGATTATTTACAGTTAGACATAGGAGTGATTTGAGCTTCTTACAACCAATAAGGGATAAGGAAGCCAATTAGAGGATTTCCTTCACCATTAAAATGTTGAGAGCTGGAAGTGTAGCTCATGGTAGAGCACTTGCCTAGCATGTTTGAGGTTTTAGCTTCCATCATCAGCACGAATTTAAAAAGGAAGTCGATGATGTAATATGGGTAAATGTTTAATTCATGGAGTAAAAAAACTGTAACACATTACTACATATAAAATTAACTACATAGGAGAAAGACTGAAAGACACCAAAAGTTAATGGTGTATCTGTTGGTATACTGTAACATAAAATTTTCTGTATGTAACATAAGTCTTTCTGGGTTACCTTGAAGTTCAGCACCATGAGCTGTGCAACCCCACAGGAAGCACCCATGACCACTCCCTGAGGTACAGGTTAATACCCATCTTAAGGGCCAAGGATTTAGTCAGTGGCGCCATGCCTGCCTCGAAAGTGCAAGGTCCTGAGTTTGATTCCTGGTCCCGAAAAATACCTTTTTTTTTTTTTTAATACTCATAACAGCAGTTTTTTTGTTTTGTTTTGTTTTTTGGTACCAGGGATCGAACTTGGGTCCTTGCGCTTGTGCAGCAGGCGATGAAACCACTGAGCTAAATCCCCAGCCCAGCAGTTTTGATTTCTCATATGATCTTGTCCTGCATTTATAATGACAAAGAAAATAGTTTTTTTGGGGGGGCAGCGGGGATCAAACTCAGGACCTTGCACTTGCAAGGCAGGTGCAGCGCCACTGAGCTAAATCCCCGGCAAGCAGATAGTTTTTCAATGACAAGAGAATATTCACAAATGAAGAGCTTGCTTAGATCATTGTGCTTGTGTGAATATCTGTGTATTCTGAGCATTGCTCCAGGCGCAGCATTCCTAGCTCGCCTTTCATTGTCTCTGCTCTCCAGGAACTGGTTCAGACTGTAAGTCTGGGAGGCAACTATCTTCTCAACATCGGACCTACTAAAGATGGCCTGATCATTCCCATCTTCCAAGAAAGGCTCCTCGCTGTTGGCAAGTGGCTGCAAGTCAGCGGGGAGGCCATCTATGCCAGCAAGCCGTGGAGGGTGCAGCTGGAGAAGAACGAGACCTCTGTGTGGTGAGTCTGTCTGCTGACAGACCCAGGCCGAAGGCTGTCTTAAGGGAACCCCAAAACTGTTCTTTTGCTATAAAATTTGTGACCTCATGGGGTCATGGCTTAGGCCACCAGAGTGGCTTTGATTAGACAGGGAGGCAGTAGGTTTGGAGAAAAGGGAAGTTGCAGCAAAGCACTGAGTAATTTAGAAGTAATTGTTACCCTGCTTCCGGACAATAATGATAGTTATGCTTGTGGAGTACCCACAATGTGCAGGGTCCATACTCAGTTCTTGCCATTCATTCTTGGACTTCTGGATCTGGTTATTTGATCTTGGACCTCAGTTTTTTCAACCACAGAATGGGCTGATGATACTTCATAGAGTTGTTTGAAAACTCAATGAGGTAATACATGTAAAGCACCCAGCAAGGCCAGGCATAAACAGTATCCAGTAGAAGGTACTGCTGATGTTATACTGAAGAGCTTCAGTCTTTGGATCAGGCCAAACACGCTAATCCTTCTGTTTGGATCAGTGTCTATTTAGTGATTCTCATCTTCTTCCCTAAACACATTGAAATCTCAGGAGGATAAATTTGTCTTCATTATATATCTTATCCTTACTATATCCTTTATTTTCTCATGGATTTGAAGTTGACAAGAAGATTTACATAAAGTAAATGGCTTCAGTGTGAAATAACAAATGTAAGAGTTAACTAGACAAAAACAGTGTAACAACCCAAAAGGGGAACACAGAAGATAGGAAAGAGCTTTGTAGGCTGCTTCCTCCTGCTTACTGTAATTGGTGTTATCAGTGCCTCCCTGTAGCAGTGACAGGCTTGGGGTCTTGGGTTTGGTAGGTAATTGAAAAAGAAATGGACAAGATTATCATGGTGCCAGCATTCTTAACAGTGATATTTCCTTCCCCCCAGGTATACTTCAAAAGACTCAGCTGTTTATGCCATTTTTCTACAGTGGCCAGAAGGTGAAGTTTTGTATCTTAAATCCCCCAAAGCTACCTCAACTACAAGGGTAAGGAGTCCCATCAGTTCTAAGTTGTACTTACCTCCTACCCTTTTGTCTTTGGTGGGACTGGAGATTGAACCCAGGCCCTTCATACTGAGCTATATTTCTTGCTTTTATTTTTTCCTTTTTTGTTTACTTTTTTTTTTTTAAGACAGGGTCTCACTATGTAGTTGAGGCTGGTCTTGAGCTCACTATGTAGCCCAGGTTGGCCTCAAATTGAAAGTGATCCTCCTGCGTCAACCTCCCGAGTGCTGGGATTACAGGCCTGCACCACCATGCCTGGCTGTAGCCCTTTTTTAATTTTTATTTTGCAAAGGGTTCTTGCCAAGTTGCCCAGGCTGGTTTCAAACTTCTGATTCTTCTGTCTCAGCCTCCCAGAGTGCTGGGATTACAGTCGTGTGACAGCACACGGAGCCTAATTAGCTTTTTTTTAATGGAACTGGCAGGCCCTCTGTCCTTCCTGGGGAAAGGTCCCCCAGGCTGCTCCCACATCTGTGCTCCTAGCAGGCTGTCTTCCCTGTCCTGGCCTGGCATGGTGTCCAGACAGTAGTTTGTGTGTATTGGTGTGTTACTGGGGTTTCCCATTCCTTTTCCCTGCTGCAGGTAACCATGCTGGGACTCGAGGGAGATCTGAAGTGGTCCAAAGATGCATATGAAGATCTCCGAATCTCTCTGCCTCAGTTGCCTCCCTCTGCGCTCCCAGTAGAGTTTGCCTGGACTGTGAAGCTGGAGGGAGTGAAGTGAGCCAGAGCTTAGGAGGAGAGAGGCGCTGCTTTGATTTCCCTCTCACAGAGCCCGAATCACAATAAAGCCACCTTCTTTCCCCACCCTGAAATGGCCTTTCCACCAGACTTTAGTCCAGAAAACTGAGTGCATCACACTGATGACTAATGGAGCAAACACCTAAGAGCCATTGCTAGTGTGTTTCCCTGTGGTCAGATAAAGAAGGGACTGAAAGGTTAAACCGAGTTCTGCACCCTGACGGTGGGGGCCGGGCGGTCTACAGTGGAGACTCCCTCCATTCTCTGTTCTGTCACCTTCCTGCCAGCTCCGTGACTTTAGATGAAGAATAAGCCAGGTTACCCTGTGCCTGTGGGAGGGGTGGAGGGAGTCTGGAGTGTACCACGTGCGTGCTCCGTTTGATGTGAGTTGTCCCAAACTGCTCCTGCAAAGTTGAAAGCCTAGAGCAGAGGGAGAAGCTTTTTGAGTCGCTACTGGTCCCTCTTCAGAAGCTTCTAATGGCAAACTAAGATCTCTGAAATAGAGCATGTTTACAGTGGAACTGTGAAGACAGTGCCATCCTACCCTGCCTTTTTAAATATGATCAAATAAATCTGTAAGTCTAATTATTTCTAACAAAAAGCATGTTGTGGCTTTCTGTTCCTGGTTCCACTTTTTTTTTTCTTGTAAATGTTTTTAATAGATGATGGAAAAAGGGTAAAATTTTGGTGAAAAGCTTTTTTTTTTTTAAACAGTAGTAGGGATAGAACTCGGGGCATTTGCACTGAGCTAAATCTGCAGCCCTTTTAAAACTTTATTTATTGATTGATTGATTGATTGGTACCAGGAATCAAACTCAGGACCTTGTGCTTGTGAGGCAGGTGGAGGAACCACTGAGCTAAATCACCAGCCCTATTTATTTTATTTTTTATCAGGACTGAGAATGAAACCAAGGGGGTTTGACCACTGACCTACATCTCCAGCCCTTTTTCTGTATTTATTTTGTGTGTTTGTTTTGTTTTTTTGAGACAAGGTCTTGCTATGCAATTCAGGACGGCCTTGAACTCACTGTGTAGCCCAGGTTGGCCTCGATAATCCTCCTGCCTCAGACTCCAAGCACTGGGATTACAGGCATGCACCACCATGCCTGGCTTTTCTTTCTTTATTTTGTGACAGGTTCAAGCTAAATTCCTCTGGTAGGTCTTTTTAAAAAATTTTTTTTGGTACCTGGGATGGAACTCGGGACCTTGCACTTGGCAGGCAGGCAACGGCACCACTGAGCTAAATGCCCAGCCCTGGTAGGTCTTGAACTTGCAACCCTCTTGCCTCAGCCTTCCAGAGTGCTGGGTTGCAGGCATGTGTCACCACATCCAGCCCTTATATTTTACTTTGAGACAGGGTCTTGGTAAATCATTGAATTCCCCAGGCTGGGCTTGAACTTGAAATCCTGCCTTGCCTCCCAGAGTACTGGGCTTACAGGCATGGGCCACTGGACCAAACTCTGCTTTCTATTGGATCTGCTTCCTCTCTCCCTTGACCTTTGGGTCAGATTTCTGCTCAGCTGTATGTACATGTCTTAGTCATTTAAGGACTGTTTTTCCAGGACTGGTAGTATAAGACTGGTTTGCTCTAAAGCCACCTAATCTCTCTCCTCCCCCTCAAGACTGAAGTCCCCATGCTAAGTGTAACCGAGCTATTTCCAGGACACTGTGACCTTGTGATTGATCCACATGATTGATCCATATGCAATGTCAGGTCACCCAGGAGGTACCCAGAAGTCTCCAGTTGTCCTTTCTTACCCCAAACCCATCTTCTTTCCCTTCACCTAAGGGTAAAAGATGCTTGAGGCTGTGTTTAAATTACCCTGGGCATCTCCTTGGTTTGCCGACTTTCCCATTCATCTTTTTTCTTTGCCCCAACAACTTGTCCTAGAGTTGCTGGACCTGTTCAAGTGACAGGTAAACAGACTTGGGGTTGGTAATGGGGTGATTTAAGGCTGGGGGTTAAGTGATTGAAAGTGCAGTAATCATTGGTCTGTGTGTGCCCAAACTGGGTGCTTCCTGAGACATGAATTCAGAAAACGGAAGTGTTAGGGCCAGGAACGTAGCTCAGTGGCACCAAACCTGCCTGATAAGCACAAGGTCCTGAGTTTGATCCCCAGTACCAAAAATGATAAGAATAAAGAAAACAGCAGGATTAGCATGAGCTGAGGGTGAGGTTTTGGGCTCCTGACAAAATATCACCCATTGGACACTTCAGCAGATCCAAGTGAGAGTCAGTGCCTTCAGCAAAAGCGGCCTTCAAGTCCCTGAGAAGCTAGGCCAGCCACCATTATCACTATGACCTACCAATGGGCGTCACCTACAGCAAAGCTAGTGGGAGACTAACCATATACAGTGGACCCTTGACTTACAAGTTTGATTATTTCCTGAGGGCTGGTTGTAACTCAAGTTGGTTGTAAGTCAATGCAGCTGAAGTCTGGATGTGTACCTGGGTACATGCTATAGACAAGAGACAGATGAATCTTCCATTAACCTAATTAACCCTAGATATTCAGATGTCAGGCAGGTCATAACTTGAGGGTCCACTCTACTGCTCAGGGGATGACCTCCAAAATTAGTGATTGTTAAAGTCAGCTAAAAGCAAGTGAACTAAAGGATTTATCTAGGCTTTCCCTCAGTTTCAGTATTGGGACTCCACAGTGAACAGCCAGATAAAGTATCTGGCCTTTCCTGAGGGATTCACTCAGAGCTACGTGCATATGTTATTCACTTTTTTTTTCTTGGTACCGGGGATTGAACTTAGGACCTTGCCCTTGCCAGACAGGCACCACTGAGCTACATCCCTGGCCCATGTTATTCATTGTTGTAGAATTTACCAACAAGTGAATTTAAGGGCCAAATGACAGAGTGGTAGGAATTGGGAAACTGGCCATTGGGATGCTTTGCCTACACCATTTCTGTGTGTGTGTACTTTTGTTGTTGTCGTTTTGGTTTGGTTTTTTTTTGGTACCGGGGATTGAACTTGGGTCCTTGCGCTTGCAAAGCAGGTGGCAGAAGCACTGAGCTAAATCCCTAGCTTTTTTTGTGTGTGTGTGGTACCGGGGATCGAACTTGGGACCTTGCGCTTGCGAGGCAGGCAGCAGCACCACTGAGCTAACTCCCAGCCCCCTTGTTTTAAAGTGTGAAATATACGTAACATAAAAGTCACCATTTTACTCTTTTTGAGTGTACAGTTCAGTACCATTAGGTACATGCACATTGCTATGTGACCATCTCCATGGTGCATCCTTGGAACTTCTTTGTCATTCCAAATTAAAACACTGAGAAACAATAGCCCCCCATTTCTCCCTTCCCAAGCCCCTGAATGCTACTATTCAACCCCACTACACACACACACACACACACACACACACACACACACACACACAAGATTAAATCCAGAGCATTGCACATGCTAGGCAAGTGCTCTACCACAGAGCTACATTCCCAACCCTCTTTATTTTGAGACAAGTTCTCTTTATGCTGCTCAGGCTGGCCTTGAACTTGCAATCCTCCTGCCTCAGCCTCCCAGATAGCTGAGATTACAAGTATGTACCACCACACCCAGCTCTCTACTTTCTTTGTGAATTTGACTATTCTTGGTACCTCCTTGTATTAAAGTTCTCCAGAAAAACAGAACCAATAGGAGATGCACCAATAGTAACAATGACCACCAATTATGGAGATAGACAAATCCCAGGATTTGCTGTCAACAAGCTAAAGACTTAGGAAAGTCCAGGGTGCCCTTCAGATAAAGCTGGATGGCCTAGGAAGCCAGATGAAGCAGCCAAACAGAGAATTCCTCTTTCCTCCACCTTTTTGTCTGATTCAGACACTCAGAGAATGGCATGATGCCCACTGACACTGAAGAGGATGGTAATTGCTTTACTCTATTGACTCAAATGCTAGTATTGTCCAGAAATACCTTATAGACACACCCAGAAGCAATGTTTAGCCAAATATTTGGGCTTCCTGTAACATGATCAAATTGACACACAAACTTAACCAATCACACCCATATAAACAATCATGACATTTGTCCTTTCGTGTCTGGTTTAGCATGAGTTGTTATTGTTTTGCTGTTTTATTGTTTCCTGAGATAGGGTCGAACTATGTAGTCCAGGCTGGCCCCGAACTCCTGCCTCAGCCTCCCAAGTTCTAGGATTACAGGTATGTGCCACTATGCCTGCTAGCATGATATTTTTAAGGCTTATCCATGTTGTAACATGGATCAGAATTCTACTTCTTTTAAGGGTAAATCATATTCTATTTTATGCATATACCACATTTTGTTTATGTATATTCTATTTTACGTATATGCCCATTTATGTGACAATGGCATGTGGGTTGTTTCCACGTTTTTTTTTTTTGGTTTTTTTTTGGTACTGGTGATGGAACTCAGGACCTTGCGCTTGCATTGCAGGCGGTGGAACCACTGAGCTAAATCCCTGGCCCGCCACCTTTTGGCTATCATGAATAATGTTGATATGAACATTGGTGATTCTTTGGGGTATATACCTAAAGTGAAATTCCTGGATCTTATAACTCTTATTCAACTTTTTTTCCCCAGTACTGGGAGTTGAACCCAGGGCCTTTGGACTGAGCTACATCCCCACACTGAGTCACTGCATTGCCCAGGTTGGGCTAAAATTTGTGATCCTCCTGCCTCAGCCTCCCAAGTGCTAGGATTATGACATGTGTCACCATGCCTGGCTTAGTGTACAAGTCTTGAAAGTCAAATTGTTTTAAACATCATACTTGTATCTTTGGGCTGAACTTAATGAGCTAGCTGCAGGTTTTGAACTCTGTGAGTAGTGCTCTAAGGGTTATGATAGAGGAAATTTCCAGTGCTGCTAAAGATACTCGTGTCTTGTTCTCTCCCTGAACAAAACCTGAGCCCCTGGGGCTGAGTATGTAGTTCAGTGGGAAAGAGTTTGCCGACTGTGTGTGAGGCCCTGGGTTCCATCCTCACACTGGAAAAAAATCTGAGTCCCTTGAAAGCAGGATGGTGCCTCCTCTGCCCTAAACCCCCCTTAATACCAACAGTAGCGGACACACCAGGACACTAGGACAGTAGCCATAGCGACTACTTACAAAATGCAAACTTGATCGGTTCTTCCTGCTTTCTACCCCTCAAAAGTATTCCCATGAGGATAGCTGTTCTCCAAAGCCCTATGATGGGATTCCAGAAACCTCACCGATCTTAGAAAGTCCCCTTTCTGGTCCCTCCCTACTCTCTAGCCATTCTGGTCTTCTTTTCATCTTTCCAAAACCACAGAGGACATAAAGGTAGAGCACTTTACTAATATGCTCTAACACTCTGGGTTCAATCCCTAGTGCTGCAAAAAGAAGGAAAAATAACATTTTTCAAACATTTCTATTTGCAGCCCACTGTGAGATGTTTTCTTTTTCTTTGTCGACCATCCCCAGTGAAATTTATTATTTTGCATTGTAACTTGTTTGAGTTGTGTGTGTGTGTGGTACTAGGGATGAAACCCAGAGCCTTCTCACTGAGCTACATCCCCAGGAATTCCTCCCAATCCTACCCTCCCTTTTTTTTTTGAGACAGGGTCTTACTAAATTGCCCAGACTAGGCTCAAACTTTCAACCCTCCTGCCTCAGCCTCCCAGGGTGCTGGGATTACAGGCCTGCACCTCCAGCCCAGTTTATTCTATTTGCTTTTTTAAAAAAATTAGGTGGTGCAGGCCTGTAATCCCAGCACTCGGGAGAGGCTGAGGCAGAAGGATCACTGTGAATTTAAGGCCAGCTTGAACTGCATAAGGAAACCTTGTCTCAAAAAAAAAAAAAAATCAGTACCCATTAGATTGATATTACAACCAATTAGTGGGACACAACATGAAGATTGGAAAACACTGCTCTAAGCATTCAATTTCTTTGCTTCCAGCCACTGTGTATGTTCAGCCCTCTGTGTGGAAAGCTTTGCCTATATTCTCTTCACCTGGATGGATCTCACTCATTGGATTAATTTTTTTTTTTTTGGTACCAGGGATCGAACTCGGGTCCTTGTGCTTGCAAGGCAGGCAGCGGAACCATTGAGCTAAATCCCTGGTCCCTGGATCTCACTCATTCTTCAAGCATCCATCAAAGTGTGTTTCCCTCTCTGGAGCTGACTGCCTGCTTTTGAATCCTGAAGATCATACAAGTAACAAGTAAATTAATACACAAATGGACTCAAACAGTGTGAGTCACATAGTAATGCTTCTTATCTCAAAAGTTAGAATTGTACAACTATTTGTGCCACTGCTTTCTGTCTCTGTACACTTCCCTATGATATCCATGAAGCCAGGCATTTTGGTTAACTTTTTTTTTGTTTTTTGGTACTGGGGATCGAACTCAGGACCTTGTGCTTTCGAGGCAGGCAGCAGCAACACTGAGCTAAATCCCGGCCCAACTTCTGATCATCTTTACATTCCTAGCACCTCACTTGGCCTGACACATAACTGTCACTCAGAAAACTACTTAATAAAGAATTGGCAGGGGGCCAGGGATTTAGCTCAGTGGTTCCACCGCCTGCCTTGCAAGCTCAAGGACCCGAGTTCAATCCCTGGTACAAAAAAAAAAAAAAAAAAGAATTGGCCAGAAGGAAGGAAGAAAACTTGAGGTTTCCAGAGAGAAAAAATCTGTGTCACTGAGCCTCAAAAGCAGCAAGACCATTGGCACACTGTAACTTGAGCTTTAATGGAAACAATGTATCTAACCAGGCTGGCACTGCTACACCTTCCCTTTTCTCACTGCGAATGGGAGCCATGAAAAACATCTGGAGGGAACAGGCTCCAAGTACAAACCCAAGGGGATCCTAGCCTGGCCCCAAGCCATCCAAGTTCTCCCCAAGGCTCCCTGAAAGCAGCAAGTGCCTTCTGTTTCTCCAGAGGAGCTCTGGTCTTGGCCTTCACCGTGGACGTCTGGCTCCTGACTTCCAGCACAGACTCTTGGGCTTCCTGATAAGGACTCCAGGCCTTTGACTCAAGACTGGATCTTTCAGATCTCCAGCACAGACACCAGTTTGCAGTCTTCAAACCTGACTCTGCAGGCGGCATTGTAACCCTACCTTGTAAATACATATCTATGTTCTGTTACTCTAGTGAACTTTGACAGATTTCCAATTTCCCCAGAACGATGTATTGAAATTGTTATTTCTCCAGTGTATGTCCTTATCACTATTATCAAAAATCAGTTGCCAGGCCAGGGATTTAGCTCAGTGGTTCCACTGCCTGCCTCCCAAACGGAAGGTCCTGAGTTCGATCCCTGGTACCAAAAAAAAAAAAAAGTTCAGAATCTCAAGGAAGTACTTCTTTGGGGCCAGGGATTTAGCTCAGTGGTTCTACCACCTTCTTTGAAAGCTTGGGGTCCTGAGTTCAATCCCTGGCACCAAAAAAACCAAAAAACAAACAAAAAATCAGTTGGCTAGAGATATGTGGGTTTACTCGTAGGCTCTCTTCTGTTCCACCGATGTGTGTACTTGTTTTTCTGCTAACACCATCCAGTAGTGGTCACTACAGCCTTTTGGTAGTATAATTTTGACAGCTTTAAAACTCCGTATACATGAAATTATAAATATGCCCTTTTGTTAAATCAGGTTCTACATGAAGCAGGCTGGAAGAAAGGATTAGATATGCACACCCCTACCCTTAGCCAGTCCCTGGTAACAAGCATTCTACTCTCCATTTGCACTGTTTTCCTCACATATCAGTGAGGACATATGGTATTTGTCTTTCTGTACCTGGTTTGCTGCACTGAACAAAATGTCCTGGGGGGCAGCAGGGCTGGGGATATAGCTCAGTGGCACCGTGCCTGCCTAGCAAGCACAAGGTCCTGAGTTCGGTACTGGAAAAAAAAATCCTCTAGGTTTATCCATTTTGTCATAAATGACACGATTTTCTCCTAAAACACTAAATAGTATGCCATTGTATAAGAGAAGACATTATCTTTACCTGTTCACCAAATGGTGGACACTTAGTTTGATTCCATGTCCTGTTTATTCTGATTAATGTTTCTATGAGGATGGAAATCCAGATTTCCCTTCAACATGCCAATATCACTTTCTCTGGAGATTAATAGATAGAGTGGTAAATTGCTTGGTCATGCGGTAGCTCTATTTTTAATTTTCTTAGAAATTTCCACACTACTTTCTATAAACAATGTACTAATTTGCATTCTCACCAACTGTGCATGAGTGCCTTTTTTTTTTGTACCACGGATCGAACTCTGGACCTTGTGCTTGCGAGGCAGGCAGCAGAACCACTGAGCTAAATCCCCAGCTGTTATTGTCTTTTTTAACATAGTCATTCTTTTGTTTGTTTTTGGTTTGGGGCGTCTTTTTTGAGACACAGCCTCACTATGTAGTTCTGCCTGGCCTGGAACTCACTATATAGCCCAGGCTGGCCTCGAACTCGCTGTGATCCTCCTGCCTCAGCCTCCCAAATGCTGGGATTACAGGTTTGCGCCGCCACCCCTGGCTTCTCTTGCTTTTTAATTTCAGCCATTTGGATGGATGTATACAGTTACCTTATCTTGGTTATGGACTACAAACATGTACTAATAAAAAATAAATATTGAAATAGAAAAATAGAAGCAGCATGAGCTCTAGGAGCGCGGCGCAGGACATCTGACGTCACGCCCAAGGCTCCGCCCAAGTCGGGGCCACGCCCACTGCAGGTCACTTGGTCCGGGACAGGCGGCCGCGGAGGAAGCTGGTCCAAGATGGCGAGCGTCAGGAATTTGGTGCCGCGACGGCTGGTGGGCTTGGCGTCCCTCCGGGCTGTAAGTGCCCCGGCGGCGGCCCCACAGGCTCCGTGACGGTTTGGTTCGGGGGCTTGGCCGGTGGCTGTTGCTTCCTGAGAGGCGAGGCCGGCCACTTTCTGGCCAGAACTGGGAGGGTATTGAAGTTTTGGACCCGCCCTGACTCAGATCCCTTGGTAGTGTGGGGAAACTGAGGCTCGCTGAGGCGAAGCGATCTGTTCGGATCTTAGAGACCTGGGACGACGTCCTGGACGTCCTGATTCTCTGTCCAAGGCTCTTCCCCGTCGCCCTGGCTCCTTTCTTCCTCTTACTGAGCCTCAGACCTCTCCAAATGCTTCGTTAGTGAAAAACACGAACACCCTTCCAGTTCCGTATGGAAAGCAAGGTCACCCTCTTTCTGCCTTCATTTCCAGCTTCTGTCGTTTTAGGGCCTCTTGTGGGAGAATCTGGATGGCTTGGAGCCAGGCTGTGATTCCCCTCAGATTACACTTATTTTTTTTTTTTTTTCAGATTGCACTTTGAGTTTGTTCGATCCTGATGTTTTGTCCTCTCTTTGCTCAGTGAGTGCAGGGAAGGTGTAGCAGAGCCAGCTGTGTAAAGGGTTAAATAAATTGTATTGATTAAAGCGTGTGCCGGTGTGGTATTGTTGCTTTCTGTTCTCGGTGACATAGATTTTTTACTCTTCGGAAGCCTCGGTTTTCTCATCTGTGTAATGGATATTACCATACGGTCATTTTGGAGATTAGAGAAAATGTAGATCAAGCGTTTGGCATTATTCTGGCACTTAATAAACGATCAGTCGGTGGTATTTTTACCTTAGAGTTTGAAAGGAGTTATATCAACGGTGGGAAAAATTACACTCTCCTGGCAGTGGGTTCCTCTCAGAAAGACACTTTAATGTTTTTAGGCTGCACACCTCCATCAGTTGCACATGTGTAAAATGAAAATGGCAACTCCAGCCTGGGAAGTTAAAAAAATTAAATAAGGTGGGCCAGGGATTTAGCTCAGTGGTTCAGAAGACTGGCCAGAGGAGAAGACTGGCCTGCCCTGTAAAGAGGCAACAGCGATGGCCTAGGGGTTAGGAGCATGCATTCTTGAGCCACACTGCCAGTCTCTGATGTTCCTCAGTGACTAGCTAGCCATGTACCTTGGAAGAGTTCATCTCTGTGCCTCACATTTCTCCCAGCTAAATGGAGATTATGATAGTCCTATCTAAGCTGCTGAGAGGATGAGATGGGTTAATATGTCCTTATAAGTCCTTGCTAAATAGTAAGCACTCAATAAATGTGATTTGTTGTTATATAAAGATTTGTTATGGGCAAGGAAGTGGAATTGAGTTTATCCTGTTCTCCAAAAGAAATTTGGAAGCAGGTTTTGTGTTCTTTCAACAAAATTAAATTATCTATTGAAATCTATTACATAGTAGAATCTTGGAAATGCGGCAGTTCATAAAAGAGGGTCTGCCTCTTGAAACCGAAGTTCCACTGGAATACTTTTAGGGTAATAGACCAGAAGAGACGAACATCTCCATTGGAGGGACATTCAAGCTGCAGGGACTTTCCTGCTCAGTCTACTGGCTTCATGCAGTTCAGTGGCTTCTCACCTTAGTCTGGAGGAAACTTTGCTGGCTAGAACCAGGGCCACTTAGGTGAGTTGTCAAGTTTCAGCTGGCTCGTAGCAGAGTGTATTTCCTTCCTTACAGGTCTGGGGAGTTTGGGATCCTTGGCAGAGTATATAGCATATTTCCTCCCTTGCCCCATTTCAGATGTTTATCCAGATGAAATCTGGTGAAATGAAGTTGATTTGAAGAGTTATATTAAGAAGGGTACTGGAAAAGAGGGAAAAGAAGCCCAGTGATACCCTGTGTTACTTGGCGGGGAGGGCTAGATATGGGGCTAACTTTGTATAAGGGAGACTTGAAGCTTTTTTTGTTTGTTTGTTTTTAATGTCCCTCAGCAGCTGGGGGGATCATGTCCTCTCAGACTCATTCTCCCTCTTGTTATCAGCCTAGGATTAGAACAGAGCTTTCCTATGTATCCCCAAGCATGCTGCAGGGTCCAGAGCTCACTACTGTTCCTACACTCAGTAACTGCCCTCCTCTGGGACAGCCATGCGTAGTTTGTGGTTTCAGTAACTTTAATGAGCACCTCCCTTGTGCCAGGCACAGTGCCAAACAGTCAGGATGAAGCGGAGGTTGAGGCAGACAAGGTCCCTCAACAGAGCTTCCGTGCTGCTGCAGGAAACCTCGAGTAGGCATATTCGCAGTGGTCCAAAGGAAATAACTGTAGTCCTGAAGCAGAAAATAGTGGAGTTTAGGGGATCAACAGCCATCCAGACTGATCAGAGGAGGCCTCTGTGACTGAAGGGTTCGAGGAAGACAAGAGCAGAACAGAGGGCAGCCCTGCTGTGGGAGAGAAAGGTGGGGCTGGATCACAGCGACCACTGACTGGGTTGAGTTTCCTGGGTCAGCTGGAGCCAAACCATGCAGAGCCTTTAGGCCACAGCAAGTGGGAAGGGGGAGTCAAGTCAGGTTCCGGCTTAAACAACAGGATGAGCACATGGGACACCTTTTATAGAGATGGGAAGGGTGAAGTCAGACAAGCTTTAGGAGAAATTAGAGTTCTCTTGGGGACTGTTGAGAGGTACAGATAGCGTCAGATGGACAGCCGAAAGTGGGTCTGGACCTCAGGGGAGAGCCTGTCCTCAGAGTGTGAGTCTTGCTCATTCCTATTCCACAATGCAGTCTGTTTTTTGATCCTAAGAGAGACTGCACGCAAATTACTAAGAAATAGTGCCTCTTGTCTCAGTACCAGTGAATTAGGATGCATCCTGTCAGAGTGGTTCCTGTGGTAAATGGTGAAAATTCCTTTCCCTTTTTGTTTCCCCTTTTAAACCAAAGGTCAGCACCTCATCTATGGACACTTTCCCAAAGCGGGTGAAAATTGTGGAAGTTGGTCCCCGAGATGGTCTACAAAATGAAAAGGTAAAGATGGAAATCAGCCATCCAAAAAATAAAAATGTCACACACATCTGCTTTAGTATTTCATATGGTGGGGAAATTGGGTCATATACACTGGAGGCTTTTAAAAAAATGGGATATTATGAAACTGTTAATGTAAGAATATATTGAGTAACTCAAGCTTGTAAAAACACCTGTATTCAGTTTTACACTTTAGCTTAAGAAACAAAAAAGCTTATATGTGTGGAAACATTTACCTGGAAAACAGTGTAAAACAGTGCAGTCCTATAGAACTTTCTGTGAAAGTTTCAGTTTCTTGTGTGATCAAGGAACCAAACTTTTATTTGTGTATAATTTTAATCAATTTAAGTTTAAATAACCATACATGGCTAGCAACTAACAAATTGTCTGTAGAAAGTTACTAAGATGTTAATACTGTTATTTCTGGGGAGTTCTAAGGGCAGTTTTTCTTTGGCATATTTTTCAGAAAGAATCATGTATTTTTTTTTAATAAGAAAAGCTTTTTTGAGCCAGGTGTGGTGGCCCATGCCTGTAATCCCAGCACTTGGTTGACTGAGGCAGGAAGATCATTGGGAGTTCGAGGCCCCCTGGACTACACACTTAGACCCTGTCCTGAAAATTAATTAATTAATCCAAAGCTTTTTTCTCCTTTTAAAAAAAAAGCATGACCAGCTTGGTTTTAATTGTGAATACTTTTTGGAGGCAGTAGTCTGGAGGCTCCATGATGGCAGAATCCAGTTTGTTATGGTACTGCTGTATCCTCAGCATCTAACATCATGCCTGAATACAAGGCTTTTGGAAATAATTTGTAGCTGGGCCTGGTGACACATTCCTGTGATTCCACTACCCGGGAGGCTGAGGCATCAGGTTTCTAAGTTCAAGCCCAGCCTGGACAACTTAGTGACTTGTGAGACTCTGTCTCAAAATAAAAATTTTAAAAAACAGGGCCTGGAGTACAGCTCAGTGGAAAGCCCCTGGGTTCAATCCCCAGTACCACCAAAAGCAAAACAAAAGTGTTAAACAAACAAACAGCATCTCTTGTGAGCTTCTTGAGAGGATAATTTGAGCCTGTGAGTTTAAAACCAGCCTGGGCAACACAACAAGGTCCCATCTCAAAACAAAACCAAAAACCATTATTTGTGAGTGGATTAAGTTAAATCAGCAAGAGAGAAATTGGAGGGGGCAGATGGGAGGGCTGGTGAGAAGAACCTAGAGTTCTGAGAATTTTGGCTTAATATTTGGTACTAAGGAGCTACAGAAGGCTTGTTTGTTTGTTTGTTTGAGATGGTTCTCACTATGTAGTTCAGTCTGGCCTTGAATTCAGTATGTAGCCCAGGCTGACCTCAAACTCACAGTGATCCTCCTGCCTCAGCCTCCCAAATGCTGGGATTACAGGAGGGTGCCACCATACCTGGCCCAGAAGGCTTTTAAACAAGAAAATGAGACAGTGGAGGCTGTGGTTTTGGAAGGTTCCTGTGTAGGATGATTTGGTAGAGTGAGACCGTGGCATACATCTGTGAGATAATGGCTTAGATTTGGAGAGAGGAATCGTAAAATCTGGTAAGTGACTAGGAGTGGGGGTGGGAGGAGAGAAGGGAGCGTCAGGCAGAGCACATGAGCAAAAAGTCCTGTGCAGTTGGGAGCCGGAAAAGGAAGGGTGTGGTACTGTGGGGCTCCATCCTAAAGGACCCGGAGAGTGTGAGTCATCTGTCCCCTTCCAGACTGTGTACACTGGTCTCAATTGGTTTATGATGGGGCCATAACTTAGCACTCTTACAGTTAAGGAAAAGTCTGGATGGTAGAAAAATACTATTTCCATGTAGATATTAACTCCTTTTCAGATGAGACGCTGTGGCCACTGTGATGCACTATCTATGGAACTTGGAAGACAGTGCTTGTACCCCACCATCACCATTGGCAGGATACCGTGTGAATTTATGTTAGCATTTGAAAGTCAAGATGTTGAGGTGCTGGCTACAGCAAAAGCTAGGAATCAAAAGGTGCTGTGTGCTGACCTGCCTTGTCTGGTGTTTCTCTCTCCACTGTAGAATGTTGTTCCTACTCCAGTGAAAATCAAGCTAATAGACATGCTTTCGGAAGCAGGACTTCCTGTTATAGAAGCCACCAGCTTTGTGTCTCCCAAGTGGGTTCCCCAGGTGAGCCCCAGTCAGGAAGAAGCCTTTCCCAGATGAGAGGGTGGGAAGTTTTGTGTTGTCTCTTGAATTCAGCTGATGTTGGGAGCATAGGTTCCCATGGCCTTGGCTTTGAGAAGTCTCAGGCGATTCCCAGCACTGTGCTCCCAGCACTGTGCACCGAAAGGATGTGGCTTGGCAGGGCGGGGGGTGGAGGGGTTGGTTTCAGTCTGGGCTGTGCCCAGCTTGCGGTGACCTTGGCCTTTCCAGTTGCAGGTGGCCTGGCAGGTCTCTTCCAGTTTTAAAAATCTAGAATCTCCATGCCTGTGTAGTAAAAGACATCCTGCTTCACCGAGCTGGGCAATTGGAGAAGAAAGATCCTAGTACGAAATGAGCATTAGATAATGAAGAGTGAAGCAGTGCCTGGCTGGAGAATGTTCTTGGTAAATGGCAAGTGGTGGTATTACCTCTGGTGCTACTTACTCGAAACCGGTAGTATTGGCCATAAGGAGAAATCAGGGATGACACTTAAACCCAAGGGCCTCCAGCCACACAGCAGTAAACATGATGGGAAACTCAGCCCTGCAGAAGACTTACTGTCCACATGGCCTGGAGAACAGATACTGTGGGGAAAAGGCTTTCGCTAACTTTGGGCTCTCTGCCTGCTTTGGTGATGACTGTTCTTTGGTTCCTAGATGGCTGACCACACCGAAGTCTTAAAGGGCATTCGGAAGTTTCCTGGCATCAACTACCCGGTCCTGGTCCCAAACATGAAAGGCTTCGAGGCAGCGGTAAGAAGACAGCTTGTTGGTGGGGCTCCTGGGGTGAGATGGATGGTGTTAGTCCCCATGGTCCCTTATCCTGGGATGTCCATCTGAACATCCTGTCTGTGGTGGTCACCAGCACCATCAGACCTGGGGGTAGTCCTGGCCCTTTCACTCACTGCTTCATGAGCCTGACAAGTTGCTTAACCTCTCCGAGCCTCAGTTCTGCATATAAAGTAGGACGAATGATAGTACCCAATGTTAAGAGGATTTCAGAAAATAGATTACTCGTGGTTTGCTTAGCAAGAGCTGGGCATAAGTGCTGAGTAAATGCTAGCTCTTATTATTACCCACTTCTTCAAAGAAAGGTAACCAGGTTCTCCTGAGAATTTCAGCAGTAGTTGCTGACATCTGCCAACTTACCATCATTTTAGACAACAGACAGTGTCCCTAGTAGGTGTTGATTCTCTCTTTGGGCAAAAGACTCCTTTCAAGAGGGGCTTGCAGGGTGGTGATGGGGCTGGCGGCATTGGTGATTCCCTTGGGAGATGTCAAAGTTGTATTTTTGGCATTTCTTCCCTCCCTTGGGGTTCCAGGGATGGAACCTGGGGCCTCACCTTGCTAGGCAAGTACCCTAATAACTGAGCTATACCCCCCACCTTGGTTTATTCTGAGATAGAGCTCACTGTATACTTCCTAGATCTGCTGTGACAAAGTACTACAAACTGGGTGGCTTAAAACAGCAAGAATGGTGCTTGTTCCGTAGCACATGTACCAAAACTGGAATGATACAGAGAAGATTAGCATGGCCCCTGTGCAAGGTTGACACAAAAATTTGTGAAGTATTCCATATTTTTTTGGAGACCACAAAAAACAAAACAAAAATAAAACAAGAATGTTTTTATTCTTTCACATTCTGGAGGCCAGAAGCCCAGAATCAAGATATCAGTAGGATTGGTTCCTTCTGAGGGCTCAGGGAGCAGCCCCCTGCCTCTTCTGGTGTGCTTGGCTGGTCGATGAATCACCCCAGGGACTGCCTTGTCTCACGTGGGCTTCTCTTCTGTCTTTGTGGCATCACACAGCCATCTTCTCTTAAGGTCACCTGCCATACTGGATAAGGAGGGCCAGGGATTTAGCTCAGTGGTTCCACTGCCTGCCTTGAAAGCACAAAGTTCTGAGTTCAATCTCCGGTACCAAAAAAACAGAAATGAAAACATACAGGATAAGGAGCCCACCCTCTTCTGGTGTGGCCTCCTCTTTCCTAATTACATTGGAATGACCATGTTTCCAAACAAAGTCATATTGTGATGGCTTGGGGCTTAGGACTTCAACACATCTTCATAAGGGGACACAGCCCAGCCCTTAACGTTCCCTGACATTTCCCACAGTGTCAGTGACCCTTGAAAGGTGCTGAGGGAACTCCCTGGGTGTTGGCAGGTGGCTGCTGGCGCCAAGGAAGTGAGCGTCTTCGGAGCTGCCTCAGAGCTGTTCTCCAAGAAGAACATCAACTGCTCCATAGAGGAGAGCTTCCAGCACATGGGTGGGGTTCTGCAGGCTGCAAAGGCCACCGGGATTCCTGTGCGAGGGTGAGTCAGGCCACACTGCATCGGTGCCCTCCTGGAGGGGCTCAGCTCTGATCCTAGCTGTCCTCCCCACCACAAGTTCTTTGTCCTGCTGGGGCAGCCCAGGTGCCACACCCCAGGGAAATTCGGTCAACGCCTCCTAGCAGATGCTTTGCTCACCCCAAAATTCAGTCAGTGCACCAGTGGCATCCAGCAGGACAGGGCCTGAGGTGGAGGTGAGTTTAGTCCTGGCGTCTCTACCAGCTCATCACACGTCCCTGAGCGCTGAGGCTTAAGTCCACAGCAGCCCCGCCTCCAGGTATTGGATGTGAAATGTCTGACTGAAACTTCAATTTAGCCCAGGAAGGAGGGGCTGACTCTACCTGACACCTTCCAGTGCCGGGAGTGAGGTCAGGGAGCGCGACCTCCTGTCAGGTCACACATCGGCCACATCGAAACCTGAGTGCTCTTCAGAAGTACACATCTGTCACTCCTGATTAAAAATCCTTCAGTGGATGGCCAAGTTCAGACTTCTTTTTTCCTTGTAGTAGTAGGGATTAAACCCAGGGTCTTCTCATTGAACTATGTTCCCAGCCCCTTTTTTGCTTTTTATTTGGGGAGAGGGTTGTTTTTGGTTTTTTGAGATAGGATCTGGAAGGCTAGCCTTGAACTCACAGGAGTCCTCTTGCTTCAGCCTCCTGAGGGCTGGGATTACAGGCATGCACTGCCATTCCCAGCTCAGACTTTTTTCCTTTTCCACGCTGGGGATCAAACCCAATGTTTGTGCATGCTAAGTGTGCGCTCTACTGCTGAGCTACATCCTCAGCTGAGTTCAGTTGTTTTAATGTGGTTTACAGGACCTTGCATGATTCAGTCCCTGGCACTTACTGCGACTTTGTTGTTATAGCTCCTTTCTGACCTTCACTTCTGCACATCACTCTTTAGTCTACCTGGAATTTTTTTCCATTCACCACCTGCCTGCTCTCTCTTGTCTTGGGCCTTTGCTCTTGCTCTTTATAGACTCAGAACCCGTTTGGTCTGTATCATGCCTGTGTGGGTCCACTGTGGGTGTTGGCTCCTCTGAGAAGCCTTCCCTGTCCCTCAGCGAGAGTTGGTGCCCTTCCTCTGGGGTCCCATAATCCCCCATGTCCTTGAATGTGACATTTAGCTGCTTGTTAAATCCCCTCCACCCTAACTGTGCTTTCCGAAAGCTCAAGCCCCTGTCTCTCTGCTGCCTAGCATGCCCTGCTTTCCAGTATGGTTGTGTGTGGAGAGGTCTGTATAGAGAAGGCACCCCATCCAGTGACTGTCTCCTCCTGAGCACTGGCCTGGCTTGCTCGTGAGGGTCTGCTTTTCCCATGTAGGTGCACACTCCCGCTGCCCTCTCTGGCTCCTCCCAGGCCCCTGGAGGTCTCCCCACTCCTCCCTCCCCTGACGAAGCCTTGCTGGCCAAAGAGCCTAGGGTGCTGATGTCATTCCTTCCCCTTCCCGCAGGTATGTCTCCTGTGTGCTCGGATGTCCCTACGAAGGGAAGATCTCCCCGGCTAAAGTAGCTGAGGTGTGTGTGGTGGGGTGGGGTGTGCCTGTCCCCACTTCGAAGGAGTTATCTTCAGAAGGGCCTTGCCCAGTAGCCCCAAGGTTCCTAGTAATGGGAGGGCAACAGTCTTCCTCTGATCTGTTAATGCCAAGGAGAACCCAGGACTAGAATTGAGTTTGAGCATTTCAGGAGTTTATGTCATTTCATCCTCAGAACTTCTGCAAATTTGTTATTTTTCCATTTTACAGTTGAAACAAACTAAACAGCTGGCCATCCAGGTTGCAAATGGTTAAGTCAGGTTTCAGACCACACTTGTTCCCCTACAAAGCCCACTTGTTCCCCAGTACTATGTGGTGTCCAGATAAATGGTCACAGGGTCAGGTGAGTGTGCCACATCCCTATAATCCCATCGTTCTGGAGGCTGAGGCAGGAGGATCTCTAAAATTTTGAGGCCAGCCTGGGCAACTTAGTGACTTAGCAAGATTCTGTCTCAAAATAAAAAAGGGGCTGGGGATGTAGCTTAGTGTGAAGGCCCTGGATTCAGCCCCAGTAACTGAAAAAAAAAATAGCAGATTGTAAATGAAAGACGGAGGGGCCAGGAGTGTGGCTCAGTGGTGAAGAACTTGCAAAGCACAGGGGCTGGGTCTGAGGGCCTGCTGCAGTGGCCAGCTCTGCTCTGCAGGGGGAGGAGGCTCTTCATTCCCACTAGCATTGTCAAGATCTTGAGGCCCAGGAGGAATCCAGTGCCTCAGGCATGTGGGGGACCAGCTGGGCCACGGACCCCTACTTCTGAGCACTCTAGGCCCTCACTGGGGGAACCTGGCCTCCTCAATGTGCCAGTTTGCTTTCCTAGGTCGCCAAGAAGTTGTACACCATGGGCTGCTACGAGATCTCCCTGGGGGACACCATTGGTGTAGGCACCCCAGGGCTCATGAAGGACATGCTGTCAGCTGTCATGCGTGAGGTGCCTGTGACCACGCTGGCTGTGCACTGCCATGATACCTATGGCCAAGCCCTGGCCAACACCCTGATGGCTCTGCAGGTGACTAAAGGCACATGCCCGCTCTCCCAAGGGCACGGGGACAGCTCAGTTCCACATGTCTGCTCACCGATGTCAGTGTGCCAGGGCCAGGCCAGCAGTAGTGGACAAAGACGTGGTGACCCTGTCACACCCCTGTGTTGGGGGGACAGTCGAAGGAGTTAGGTCACACTCCTGCTGCGATGCTAGGAAGCGAGGAAGCACAGGGTGAGGGAGCCCTGTCCCACCTGTAGGGTCAGGGAAGATTTGGCAAAAGAGACCTGAGCGAGGCTCAAGGCTCAAAGGACAGGAAGAAGTTGAGCAGTGGAAGGGGATGAGGAAGGGTGACTGGGGAGAGCTGCATTAAGAGATGGGGATGGAGGCCTTCAGGTAGGGACGTGTACCAGCACACCCAGTTCGCAGCTTCTAGAAGTCAGGGAGGGAGGAAGAGCCAGAAAAGATCGGACCTAAAGCCAGGCGTGATAGCACACACCTGTAATCCTGGCACTCGGGAGGCTGAGGCAAGAGAATTGGCACAAATTTGAGGCCAGCCTGGGGTACATAGCGAGTTCAAGGCCAGCCAGAATTATAGAGCAAGACCCTGTCTCAAAAAACAAAAGAACAAAACAAAAAGACTGGGCTGAGGCCTCTGGAAGTGAGAGGTATCAGAGAAAAACCAGGGCACTGTGCGCTCCTGGTCCTCACTGACAGAAGATGGCGACCTGACCTTTGGATATTTATAGCTACATGAAGGTCACCAGTGACCTTGGCTAGGGCTGCTGCAGTGGAAGAGTTGTGGGGGGAAAACCTCATTCAGAATGGGCTCGGGTTAGAGTGGCAGAGATTAGAAGTAGGGACTGCTCCTTTGAGGCTTTTTGCTTTGAATGGGGCCAAAGAAATGGGAGATTGGAGCCATCCCCAAAAGGTGTTGTGAAAGATGGCCAGATCGCAGCCTGCTTTTGCAAGAATAACGCAGCAGAGGGTGTGACAAGCACAGGAGCCAAGGGGACAGCTAGTGGAGCAGTCAAGGTGGGCCTGGGGGTGGTGGAGGAGATGGGCATGGCCAGGAGCTCACCGTCACCTCAGGCAGTGGGAGGGGCAGAGCAGTCTGGCATACAGGCCGTGGGTAGAGCGGCAGGGAGGTCTGATGATTGCATCTGTTTCCCCTGTGACTAAGGAAGCAGCTGAGAGGATGGGGAAGGGGTGGGGAGGTGGGAGGAAAGGAGAATGAAGCAGTCATCTAGGAGAGTGGGAAGAGTCCAGCCTGGGGACTGCCACATGGCCCTCACGTGGTCAGAATGAGAGCAGCCTGGGGTGCCTGTGTGGGAATCAGTAAATAACAAAGGTCTGAGGTCTCACTGGTGGGTTTGGATTAGTGATCTGGAGGGGGCCTCTTTGAGGATGTGGCTTAATTTAGGCTGAGATCATCAGGGTGAGGAGGGGTCTAAAAAAGAATGGAAAAAATATACTCCTGACGGGAAACCATGAAGGAAAAAGACACCATTCCAGGAAGCCAGGGAAGCCCCATCTTCCAGTGGGATTTTCACTCCACAGATTTAAGCCAAAGAAAAATGCCTCCCAAAGTGTACAATATCAGGCAACAACAGGGAGATAGGTTTGCCTGACAGCGCTGGACCCCAGCGGCAACAATGTTTCACTGTCTTTATGTTTCCAGATGGGAGTGAGTGTTGTGGACACCTCAGTGGCAGGACTTGGAGGCTGCCCCTATGCACAGGGGGCATCAGGGAACCTGGCCACCGAGGACCTGGTTTACATGCTGACTGGTTTGGGGATTCACACGGTAAGCCTGCCTGCCCCCTGGTGGTGACAGCCTGACCTGACCAGGGCTTGGCCTAATGCTCAGAAGCTGATCCACTGTTTGGGGTTGTTGGGTGATGGGTTAAGAGCAGAGGTGCCAGGGAATTATGGGTGTTTATCTTATGTTCCTGAAGGAGCAGAGTGTGATTGAACAAGGTCACAAACATAGGCCCAAGAAGGCCAGGGGCTTAGAATGATGTCCATGGTACAGTTCTGTGAGGCCCAGGGATTATGGAAAGAGCCCTGAAAGGGGCCAAGATCATGGTCTTTGTTTTGTTCTCTGTAAGATGAAGGTGGTAGAATTAGACATCCCCCCCTGCCCAGGGCTCTGCCAGTCTGTAAGGATCCTTAGTAGTGGCATAGAAGCCACACAATATCTATGCTCTGAGATCCAGTGAAATGGGGTTTAGAACCTAATTCTGCCCCTCATGGCTTGTATGACATTATTTGTTTTGTTTTGTTTTGATTTAGTTTTTTGGTACTGGGAATCGAACTCGGGACCTTGTACTTGCAAGGCAAGTGAATTAATTTAGTTTTTTGAGACAGGGTCTCTCTATGCAGTTAAGGCTGGCCTTAAATTCACTGCATAGCCCAGGCTGGCCTCAAAGTTGAGGTGATTCCCCTGCCTCAGCCTCCCAAGTGCTAGGATTACGGGTATACACCACCATGCCTGGAGATGTCAAATTAGTTCACTTCTCTAAAACCTGAGAAATGGAAATAATAATAGCACCAATCTCATAGACTGTGGTGAGGATTAAGTAAGAAAATACATGGCTGCAGGTGTAGCTCAGGCGGAGCATATACTTTGTATGTGCAAGACCCTGGTTCCGTCCCCGGCACCAAAAAAACAACAAAACAGAAACTGTTGAATGCTAAGGATAGAGCCAAGCACATAGTACGTGTTGGGAAATATGAGCTATTGTGAACAAAGTTTATCTTCCTAGCCTTCCAAGTTGGTATTTTTATTCCTATCCTTCTGCCTCACAGTCCTTACTTCAATATGCAACTTTTGACAACCAGGCCAAGTCTTTGTGGCCCTGGCATGGAGGTCCCCCGTTCCTGTGGTCCCTCCTGGTGGTGGCATCACAGACTTGCAAGGGAGAGTCAGAGAGATAACTCCAGATGCCAGACACGACCTCATAGGCAGCTGGTGTCCCATGGTCAGAAACGAACAAGAGCCTGCTTGTTGTCACCTTTCTTTCTTCAGTGTTACATCATGACATCTCCATGATGTTGAGGCTATGTCCTGACTCACTGAATCCTCTACTTTGTTTCTCCAAGGGTGTGAATCTCCAGAAGCTCCTGGAAGCTGGGGACTTCATCTGTCAAGTCTTGAACAGAAAAACCAGTTCCAAAGTGGCACAAGCTAGCTGTAAACTCTGAGCCCCTTGCTTGTCTATAGCCTATGGATCACGTGGGAATAGGGGTGGACATGGATGATTCCTGGATGGGGAAATGGAAACCAGATGAAATTACAAGGAGCAGGCACCTCTCAGCCCACTGCACACAGGGCTGTCCTGGCAGAAAGAGGCAAGGATGAAGGCCTGCCCTGTCAGGCCTGAGTGGTAGTGTCCAGCCTTGGGGGCTGGAAATCTCCTTTCGCTGTGGACCCGGTGACCCCGAGTTGAGTGCCTGTGGCACTTGGGAACCTGTTTGGGATGATCCTTAAGTCTCATTCTAGGTTCAGCCTGCCAGTTGGCTAACCTCTGTACAGCCCCACCCTGTTCGTCCCGTGGGGCTATTACTGTCTTCTTAGGGTAAAAGGTGTGGAGCAGGTTGCTGTAAACTGCCAGTGGCCATCTCCTGTCTGCTGGTAAGGGCTGGGCTTCTCGGGTGCGACCTGTCAACTCCAGCATCAATGGAAAACCTCTAGTCAACATGATTTTTGAAAACAGCTGATGTAATTAAAGATTTAATTTTCCAGTGTCTAGTTGTGCAGATTTATGTATTTATGAGAGCAGAGGAATAAAATCTCTGCAACATTGCACTCTGCGGGGAAAGTATAAACTTTGGACTTGTTTATTATCCCTGGATTTCTTCCCTCTTTCCCCACCTGAACCCCAGTGCGAGGACGGCAAAACAGTAGCACTGGCTGCCCGATGGGTGGCTGGCCAAAACACCAGCTCCTCTGCCCTTCCAAGGGTAGCAGCGCCCCTTCCCCTCTTGGCTTGGGTGGGCCCAGGGCGACCTGTGCACTTGTGCATTTATTGCTTCTCTGCAGGGGTTTTCTCAGTATGTCTCGACTTCATGGACATCACTCATTGGGCTTGCCATTTATTTGCCTTTTAAGAAAGAACCATATACTACTGAGCTGCTGTTGGCAGCAGGCGGGGTGCAGACAAACGGTTCCCCGAGGGTGGGCACCGCAGTCTAGGCGGGCTCAGAGCTATAGGCAGCTTTAAGGGTTCCTTGGTTTGCTTCCAAACTAGATTTCCAGAATCGCGGCAGGGCGGCCCCTGCCATTTCCTTCACTCACTACAGCTCCCTGTTGGTCTTCATGCCGGGGAGTCAGACACTTCCTGCGAGACCTGGAAAGGTCTGGCACATCCCAGTAGCTGAAAGACGCGCGCCTCCCACCAGGTCCAGGGTCTCAGGAACTCGGGCCAGGGAGCCTTTCCTGGCTACTGGTCCCTGTTCTGGCAGGGTGCCGCCCACTTACACCCTCCCTGGAAATGCGTTTGCAGTCGCCTTAAAACTACACAGGGCTTTTGTCCTCCTGGAGTCTCCGTAGTAGCCACAACCCAAGCGACACGTCTTCTTTGAGGGCGTGGTGGGGGAGGCATCTGGGTGGGCTGTCCGCTCTTAAAGGGACCGTCAAGCGGAGCGCGGGAGGCGGCGCCGCAGGAGCCAGCGCTGTGCGCTCCTACTCCAGCAGGTTCGCGAGGCGGATTGAAGGGCCGAGTGAGCTCGGGAGGGGAGGGTGGTCGGCAGGGAGTGAGAGAGTCCCGGGAGGTCCGGGCCGCGTTCCTGGCGGAGGCGCGCAAGAGAAGGACCGGGCAGGGCGGGCCCGCCCCTTCTGCTCCGGTCTTCCGAGGCCGGGGCGGCCTGGGTTCATTCATTCCGGGCCCAGGACTCCTAGCTCTGCCCCTTCCCAGCCCGGGCCCAAAGTCCAGCCCGAGGCCGAGCCGCCCTCGAGCACTGACGGCCAGCGTCCCCTTCCCTCTTAGTACAGACTGGGGAAATGGAGGAGGCGACAGCTGACCAAGGTCAGCCCCTGGGTCCCCGGCGAAGTCGCCCTCCGGCCACCCTTTCTGCCTCGAAGGGCCCTTAGGCGACCACTTTTCCGGGTCCACAGAGCGCGCGCCGCTCGGCTGGGAGAGAATGGGGGCGACTTGGGCGTCCCGGGCAGAGTCCAGGGGAAGAAGCCTCGGGGAAGGGGCGGGCTGCTAGCCCGGAGATCCGAATTCCAGCCCGGATCAATGTGTGGCCACGGGCAAAGTAGTTCCCATCTCTGACCCTAGTTCTGCTCCCGGTAAAGTGTAATTAAGAACACCTGCCTCATCAAGTTGTGGGGCGAACTCAGGAAAATAACGTACAAGCGCTGGTACAGAGCCTGGTGCGTAGCGGGTGCTTAGTCAAGTGGACTGGAGCTGGATGAGCCCAGAAGGGTTTCAGGCAGCCTGGAGGAAGAAGGCAGCCGGCCAGGTCTCGGAATGAAAGGCTTCAGTGTCTGGGGCTTCCTTCCCGCTCTGCCCCCTCCACCCAGTTTGTTCAGGGCGGAGATGCACACCTGGCAAGGAAGACGGGGCCAAGTCCACGTCTACACTGGCCCACCCACTGCTGCCTGAAACTGGACAGGATCCCCGTCACCAAGCCCAGAGTAACCTGGTGTGGGTTTAGCCAGAGCCAGCCTGCTTGCCCGGGAGTGGGCTGGGGCCCACTACCTGACTGTGGTGCTGTAGCCCTGGAGCTGGGCTCGGCCTGCTGGCAGAGGACCCCCCCTTGCTTCCTGGTTCTTCCCAGCTGACCCTTGAGGAAAGGGGGCAGCCTAGTCCCAGCGCCCAGGAGCCTGTTGGCACCTGGTGGGGGTGGTCACCAGGGAGGTCTGAGTCTGAACAACTGAACCCCTCCCTGGGATCCTGGAGTCCCAATCCTGCTGCCATGTCTTCTTATCCCCAGGACTACCCAGTTCCCAGACATTGGGGGGCAGGGGGAAGTGTGGGTGTTTAGAGATCTTCCCAACCCTGGCTCAATTGTTGGAACTAGAAACTATGGTGCTTCTGTCCCCTACCTACAGCAGGCCTTTAAATCACCTCACTGTACCTTCACTGCCGCATAAATGGTGTGTATACATTTGTTAGCTCCGTCTTGCAGGGCCGGAAACTGCAGCCTGGAGAGAGTAGGTGATCCTTGAAGCCTAAGGCCAGAAAGTACCAGTACCTGGGGTTGAACTAGAGCTGACTTGAGCTACTCTTAACCAGGACTCATTGCTCCCTGCCTCCAAGGTGAGCTCAGGGAGCCAGACTCTGGCTGGATAGAGAGGCCCTGAGCAGGCACCCACAGCCACTTCTGTGACTCTGTGTCCTGGGCCAGGTTCGATGGCAGAGAAGGTGCTAGTAACCGGTGGGGCTGGCTACATCGGCAGCCACACAGTGCTGGAGCTGCTGGAGGCAGGCTACTCACCCATGGTCATCGACAACTTCCATAATGCCATCCGTGGTGAGCTTGGGTGGCCAGGCTGGAGTTTCTAGAGGGGTGGAGGAAAACCCTGGCTTCTAGGGCCCCATTTCCTGATCTTGGTGCCCCCACATGCCCTGCCAGGCAGGGGCTCTATGCCTGAGAGCCTGCGGCGGGTGCAGGAGCTAACAGGCTGCTCTGTGGAGTTTGAGGAGATGGACATCTTGGACAAGGAGGCCCTACAGCATCTCTTCAAGAAGGTAGGTGCCAGCAGGTAGGGCCTTTGGCAAGAGTAGAGCTGGCGAAGCTGCCTCTGACCCCTACTTTGCCTCTGCAGCACAGCTTTAAGGCTGTCATCCACTTTGCCGGGCTCAAGGCTGTGGGCGAGTCGGTGCAGAAGCCTCTGGATTATTACAGAGTTAACCTGACAGGGACCATCCAGCTACTGGAGGTGAGAGGCCTAGCTCGGGGACACAGGCCAGCCAAAGCAGGAAAGTGCTTGTGCAGGAGTCAGACAGGGCCATGCAGTATCATCTGGGACACATGGCTTTCTTTAGCTCCCTGCCTCAGTTTCCCACCTGTAAACCAGAGTGCCTGTAACCTCAGCCCCACCCTCCCCTGGCATCACAAGGGGCTGGACTCATGTGCAAAGCACAGCCACTTATGCCTCCCCTCCCTGGCCAGATCATGAGGGCCCATGGGGTGAAGAACCTGGTATTCAGCAGTTCAGCGACCGTGTACGGGAACCCTCAGTACCTGCCTCTGGATGAGGCTCACCCTACGGGAAGCTGCACCAACCCCTATGGCAAGTCCAAGTTCTTCATCGAGGAGATGATCCAGGACTTGTGCCGGGCAGACAAGGTGAGGGCTCCTTGACCCAGCTCTGGCTCCTCAAGGCCCACTCAAGGCTGAGGGATCCTGAGCATTACCATCCTACCTGCCCCAAGGAGGAGGCTGGGGCTCAGAAGTGAGTGACTTGCCCAGGGTCACTCATTTCTGGAGAAACAGAGGACAGGCAAGGGGCGGGGAGGGGGGAGGTAGGGGCCCTGGATTCAGCTGGGACAGACTGCCTGAACCCCTGCCCTTCCCCCTGACCTGACCTGAGTCCCACAGGCCTGGAATGCGGTGCTACTGCGGTACTTCAACCCCACGGGTGCCCATGCCTCGGGCTGCATTGGCGAGGACCCTCAGGGCATCCCCAACAACCTCATGCCCTACATCTCCCAGGTAGGGACAGAGCAGGGTGGCCAGGGTACAGCTGGTGCCAGGGACCTAGGAGGAACTGACCTGACCTCTGCCCCTAGGTGGCAATTGGGCGACGGGAGGCCCTGAATGTCTTTGGCAATGACTATGACACAGAGGATGGCACAGGTGAGCCTAGGGCCAGGAGAGCCCAGGAGTGGGGACCCTGGAGGGAGACTGGGGTGGAACCAACACCCCACCCCCTCCTCTGCAGGCATCCGGGATTACATCCACGTTGTGGATCTGGCCAAGGGCCACATCGCAGCCTTGAGGAAGCTGAAGGAGCAGTGTGGCTGCCGGGTAGGAACAGGGCAAAGGAGACATGGGGCCCAGAAGAATGGCTAGTCAGCCCCTTCCACTAACCCTGCTCTCTGGGCAGGTCTACAACCTGGGCACAGGCAAAGGCTACTCGGTGTTGCAGATGGTCCAAGCCATGGAGAAGGCCTCAGGGAGGAAGGTAGGCCTTTCCTGCTCACCTAGCCAGTGGGTGTCCCAGCACCTCTGCCTGCCTTGTAACTCAGCCCTGAGTGCCTACAGGTGACACCACTCTGCCCTGGTGTTTCCTGAGGATCTTGCCAGCAGCTGGGTGGGTGAGGCTAGGGCCAGCTCAGCTAGGCTTTAGCCACATCCTGTCTTGCAGATCCCATACAAGGTGGTGGCACGGCGGGAAGGCGATGTGGCTGCCTGTTACGCCAACCCCAGCCTGGCCCATCAAGAGCTGGGCTGGACAGCAGCCTTGGGGCTGGACAGGATGTGTGAGTGCCAGCCTGACCTGAGGGGGGTGCTGCCCTCAGGCCAGGTCCCAACCACCCCCCACTCTGTCACAGGTGAAGACTTATGGCGCTGGCAGAAGCAGAATCCATCAGGTTTCAGCGCACAGGCTTGAGGACCGACCCTCCCCTGCCTCGGACCACAAAGGAAAGGAGAAGCAACTGTCTGCTCTCCAGACCCTGGCAGGACCCCAGACTCCGGCACTCTGGGGCCAAGCCACGGCCACCCTACCTCAAACCCCAGCCGGGCCCACTCAGCCCACCAGGCAGGTGGCCGAGGGCTCCACTGACCAGAAACCAAGGTGTCTTCCACATATCTCCTGCAGGGTCCAGGAAGGCATCAGGACCACCAAAGAGTGGGCAAGCAGCAGGGCTCTGGGACCACACCTTCCTCCCAGGCACTGAATGACACTGCTAAGAGGGAACTTTCCAAAGTATTTAAAATAAAAAGTTTTCTTTTACTGAGGCAGATTCTCACAGATAGTCACTTTGCACCCCATGAATAGAATCAGGCAGGCCTGACAGTTGAGGGAGCAATTTCTTTTAATTTTATCGGAGTCCAGGACACAACAAGAAAAACACCTGAAACCACATGGAGACAGAAGACGAGACACAACTCCTCCCTCACTGCCTCCCTGGCCCTAGAGTGGGGACACAGTGGGGGTGAGACAGCCAGGGGAGACCTTGAGCCTCAGTCCAGCCCTGCAGGCTCCAGGCCTTCGAGGGAGAAGGGTAAGGGGAGGCAGGGCCCAGCCCCCAAGCGGGGGCTGCTGAGGGAAGGGCCTTGAAGGGCTCCACCTCACCCACATCCTGCCCTAGGGCAGGCAGCACACAGCAGCAAGGGGCCCTGGGCCATGGAAACATTCATGATTGAGAAGCAGCTGCAGTGAGGCAGGAGAGACACATGATTATCCAGGCAGAATCACTGGGGTGGGGCCTGGGAGGGCCCCAAGGACCAAACCCTGAGGTCGCAGGAGGGGGCCCAAAGCGGGGCTAGTGAATGAGGTCCTGAGTGAGTGGGTCAGCGGCTGGGCCCCTTCTCCCGCTGCCTACAGCCCCTCCAATACTGCTGCCAGCCCGCCTCCGGGGAAGCAGGGTAAGGAAGCAGCCCACCCTGCTGCACACTACCAGGTGGCCAAGGCCAGGAAGGAAGGCCCAGCCAGGCCTTGGCTGCTTGCCCCAGAGGCCTGTGGGAAGAGGATGGGGCGGGGAGCGGGGGAACAAGGGCTCAACCGGCTCAGATCCAAGATGGTGCCACAATTGCTTGCTGGGTCCCCTGTGAGCTGGGGAACTGTACTGGGAGCCAGCAACTCTGCTTAGACTGGAGGCAGCAGCTTCTCAAGAAATTCCTTCACAGCTGCCATCTCCTAGGGGTAGGGGGAGACTGTGAGGCTCCTGGGCTGGAGGGAGGAAGGAGAGGGGAGGGAACAGGAAGTTCCCCACTGACCTGGGGACAGGAGCTGTGCATGACACCTGGATATGTCTTGAACTGGACCTTGGCAGGTGTGACCACAGACCGGAGCTTCTCAGCTGTCAGGGCCCCAAACCGTACTGGCACCATGGGGTCCAGCTCCCCATGGCACTGAAGGATGGCCAGGTCCTTAGCACTGCCGTTGGCTGCCTGTGGGCCAATAGGACTCAGAGGGCAAAGCCAGCACAGCAGAACAATGCAAGCCTCAAGGACATTCAAAGGCAGGAGGGGATCTGGGGGAACACTCACCTGGGGGAAGTTCCGGTGCAGAGGCAGCCAGCAGCTCAATGCCACAATGCCAGCCAGAGGGTGCGGGCAGGTGAGGGCTGTGTACAGGGACAGGGCCCCACCCTGGAGGGAGGAGAGGAGCACAGGACATTAGGCCACAGCTCCCCAACCTGGCCCCCCACCTCACTGCCCCCTCACCTGTGAAAAGCCACCCAGAACGATTCGATTGGCAGGGATCCCATTCTTCATCTCATGTTCAATCAGGGCCTTGACTGCAGGGAAGGGCATGACTGGGTAGGGGAAGCTGCTGGGCCCCCCAGGGAGCCAGGCAGGCACTGCCCAGTGCTCTCCAGGGGACGGGAGGGGAGGGGGTGCAGAGGAAGGGTTGGGCCCTTACTGTTTTCTGCAGCCTTTTTGATGCCAGCCTCATCCTCTGGGGCGTCTGGACTCAGTCCCATCAGGTCAAACCTGGGGAGCAGAGGGTTGCTGCTAGAAGCCCCAGGCCAGGCCCCGGCAGCCCCTCAGCACCTGTCTCCCCCAGCCCACACTCACCAGGAGGGCATCACCATCTTCATGTTGAGTGTCACAGGGATCCTAGGCCTGGGGAGAGAAAGCCAGAGGGCCCATCATGGTCAGGAGGGAGCAGGGAGCCACAGCAGAGGCCCCTGTGGGCCCCCCCACAGCAGGCAGGGCCTGTGTTTAAGGTGTTGCCAGGCAACTTGCCACGTGGGGCACCGGGCTGTGGTTGGGACAGCAGCTAGTGATGCAGAAGCAGACAGAGACCAACATCATGGTGACCAGGTTCCAGCTCGGTGGGTGAGTACTTGGGGAAGGGGCATGGGAAGTCCCAGTCTAGGAGACCCTAGGGCTGGGGGCTGGTACTGGACCCCATTCTTGGGGGCTTCCTAGGAGCTGAGGCTGAATTTTTGGCACTTCTGACTGCTGTGAGTCCAGGCTCTGGGATGCAGCTGACAGAACAGGTCTGGGACCGCAGAAGCATCCCCACCACTGCTGATCCCCCAACAGGACACCCCTCAGCCCCTCCCTTGCTGGGGTGACACTCACGCATGGGGACAGATGTACTTGACGTGAGGGAGCCGGATGGTGGAGAGGGCATCAGCCCAGCTGTGCCTGTAGGAGGGAAGGGAGAGAAGGCTCCGATGAAGGAAGGGGAAGGGGGGCAGCAGCCCTGCTGGCTGGCCCCTGCCCCACCTCCCCATGGAACACTCCCCAACTCACTGACCCTGTGTCTCCAAGTCCATGTAAAAAAATAACCTGGAAAAGGTCAGAAAAGGGAAGATGAGTAAGTTCCCCCTTTGGATCTTCCAATTCCAGCCTGCCCTTCCCTACCCCTAGGGACCTGGGGTGACCCAAGGTGACAGCCAACAGGTTATTAACCCTAAGCCTCTGGCTTCAGGCTACTCCCTTCTCAACACTGCCACCTCCACGTTTCCCATGCCCCCTCCAGCCAACTGTCCCCAGCAGGTCTGGCTGTACCTATACCCAAGGGCTACCAAGGTGAAAGGGGTCCCTTACTGCGGCCGTTTCCCGCTCAGCTCCAGACACGGTGGCAGCGTCGGTGAGCAGGGGCACAGACATGGTGTTACCACACATACACTGCAGGCCTCCCTGCAGGCTGGGCCTGCACAAAGGAGGGGGTGCGGTCAAGAGCAAGGCCAGCAGGGGAAAGCCTCCTGGCTCCAGGGCCTCACCAGGGCCATCACCATCCCCGCCAGCAGCGGTGGGGAAGGGGGTGCCACAGAGAAAAGGCAAGCAAGAAGTCCTGGAGCAGAAGGATAGAAGTCTGCCTCCATGCCAGGGCTGAAAAGCAGAGGTAGCCGCCTCAGCGGTCTAGAACTTCTGTGTCTGGTTCTGGCCCAGCCCCAGAGCCTGAGCTTGCTGGAGACGGGCAGGGTAGGGCTTAGGGGCTGAGGGGAGAGGAGGCAGGGTGACCTTAATCCCCCACCACCACCGCCAATGCTCCTCACTGGCAACTGTCTCCTCCCTAGTCTCCAATCAACCCTCCTCTGGAGACCCTGGGTCCAGAGGATCCAAGTCTGGGTCGGAATGGGAAACAAGAGGGAAAGAAGTGCCAGGGAAATAAGCTTCCAGCCACCTCATCTCCATCCTCCCTTCCTCCCATCCAGCCTTCACAGCAGTTTCTACTGCAAAATTCCCAGAGCCCCTGGGGGCTGTCTATGTCCCCTGAAAGCATAAGGACTTCCATCTGCCACCCACCCCCCAACTGGTGCTCCACATCCCCCCAGGAATGAGGCTACCTGCAGCTGCTGCCGTCACTGACTCCAAATGGGCCCCTAGCTGAACAGGTTCTGGGACTCCCAAACACACAAAAGAATGTCAGGCTGGCTGGCCCCTCCCCGTCCTTAGCATCCTCCAAACTCCGGAATCTTCCGCTACCTGCCTCTAAGTGCCTACCCTTCACAGGGTGCCCAGCCCTGCCAGCCTTCCAGGAGGCTGCCACCTTCAAGCTTAGCCCTCGTGTCCTCTCCAGCAGGAAGCTCACACAGGACCTCACACCTCTGACCCTGGAGTGTCTCTCCCCAAGGGGAATGCACCTCCCGCCCTGGGATTCCCTTCCTTCTCCACTCTGGGGGCTGCAACCTCCCACCCTGGAGGCCTCCCTTTGCGGGGTGCCATACCTCGACCTGGTGTTCCCCTCCTCCCAGTAAGACACAGGGTCTCCCACTTCTCACCATGGGAACTTCTGCTGGGACCCAGGGCCAGCCTCTCCCCACAGAGACATTTCCCACACCGACCCAGGACGCGCACCTGCCCACCAAGGGGCTCTCTACGTTTTGACCCCGGGGAAGCCCCCGCCCCACAATGGCATCTCTCAGTTCCAACCGTGAAGTCCCTCTCCGCACCCGGACAGCCCCTTGCCCGGCCGCTCCACTCCCGAAGTCCCCAGGACTGGACAGCGCCTTCGCACCTTGCTCCCCGCCCCCATCCTCCCGGCCGTGCCGCTCCCCGCGCCTGGACCCTGCCAACGCCATGCAGCCCCGCTCGGTCCCGCTCCGCCCGCCGGGTACCTCGCTCCCTGGGGCTTTCGCAACCGCTCGGGCAATTCTCCTCTTTCTCCCACAGACACACACTCTTCCCCCTCAGCCGCCCCCGCCGGAACTTCCGTTCGAGTCCCGGGAACCCAGCCATTGTGCTGCCGGAAGTAGCCTGGCCAGCGGTACGGAACCCGGAAGCTGGCCGGGCTTCCCAGCTAGGAGCTGCCATATTGCCGGCAGTGGGGCCACTCCCTGTCACTCGGCGCCCACCTGCAGCATCTGCTCAGGGAATCACCAGCACCTGCAGCATCCAGGGAGGGCATCCTGCTTCCTCCACCACCCGGGCGCCTCCGGAGGAAATCTATCAGGGAGAGGCCTTCCTTACACTATTAAGCATCAAGTTTGTCACCTTCCCAGCCCTATGAGGCACACCTCATTATGTCGTTGGGAACTTGCCAGTGTTTTGGCTTTTTAAAAATACATTTTACTGTTTATATTTACACATCAGATATATAGTAAAATAGTCACTATAATGGAACACATTAACGTATCTATCATCCTAGCAGCTGTTAGCTACTCATTTAGCAAAACTCCTGAATATAACACACTATTTTAAACTATGGTCCTCATATTGTATACTGGATCTTTCAACTTGTTCATACTGGCTACTAGTTTCCATGCCTTATTCCAGAATCATGGATGGGACCATATACACTGACCTGAAAAGACCTGCAATCACCTACTCATCCACTCTTAAATATGAAGAAACCAAGGCTCAGAGAAAGGAGGTAAACAAACAGCAACCTCAAGGTAATACTGTATTCTGCTTTTCTTGACCTGCTTCTTATGCTATAAAGTGGTAATAATAACCACCCTGCCTACTTCATAGCTTAGCTGTTAGGTTCAAATGGTGTGAGCATGCTTTATACACTGTTAAATCACAGTGGGAAGCCTTAATCACCCTAAAAAGGACCCTGGGAAAATACAGGCTACATCATGATAGACAGACAGGCATGGACAGTGTTGTCTTAGCTCTGCCCTTTACAAACAAAACAACGCACGGTGCACAAAATGCCACCCTGAAATTCACCAGGAACAAAAGTGTTTCATTTGGTCATCACTGAGTCATCTCTTTCATTGGTAAAGTAGAAATAGGGCCCAGGGTCCACAGAAAGGCTGAGAAGCAAACTGAGTAAACTGAAGGACCAAGTCCCTGGGAGAACACGTGAGGATCTGCAAACAGGAAATGAGTCACACTTGTCCCTCAGCAGCTGAGGACTCATTCTCCCAGGTTAACCTAACTAGTTTTTTTTTTTGAACTGAAAGAAAACAGTACAAACTTGGAAGCTTAACAAAGCACTTTTCACCAGGCCAAGAGGCAGTTTGGTCTAGAATACTCAACAGGTCACAGAGATGGGGCATAAAATACTAGGATTCTGGACAGAAAAATGGCACATGGGATCCCAGCAAGCCAAGGAGCCAGGACTGGATATCAAAAGCCAAAGGATAAAAGTAGGAAACAACACAGCTGCCCCTTTACCCACAGAATCCCTGCTCTGTCTGCTTATGGAAGAAACCATGTTCCTCTGGAACGTCCAATTACCTGGGACATCACAGCACATTCAACAAATTTTTCGAAGCGAAACTTCAAATCCAGAGGTCCAGTCCCAGGGGCTGTGATTTGTGCTTTAATTAATGGAACTTATGAAGGGCCAGTCTGCTGTGAGATTTCTAACCTTGTTTTTCCTCTTGCCCAAATTAAAACATAGCCCTTCTTTTAATCCTCAAAAATATCCAGCTGAAAAGCAAGGGATGTAGCTCAGTGGTACAGCCCTTGCTGAGCATGTGTAAGGCCCCAGGTTCAATCCTCCACCACCAAAAACAAACAAACAAACAAACAAACAAAAATCCAGCTGAGATTGGCTGTGGCTGAGGAGTGGGTAGAATGCTTACTATATCACCAACAGCACTTGCATTCTACTTTATTTTAGGCTGGTTTTTATGTTTTTATTTTTTGAGACAGTCTTACTTTATAGCCCAAGCTGGCCTTGAACATGAAGCAATACTCCTGTCTCAGCCTCCTGAGTGCTGGAATTACAACATGTGTGCACCACCACACCCAGCTAGGCTACATTTTAGAATTTTGAGGCCCAACAATGCTTGGGGTGGCAGACTCCTGAGGACAAGCTAGAGAAAGTGACTATATTCTCCTGATAACAAGAGAAGGCCCATCCCTCTGAGGAATTCTCTCAAGATGATCAAGTTCAACAGTAATGAAGTAGTATCAACTGCTCCTACTTAACAAGGGATAGAATAGTGACCATCTCCAATCCCCTTTTCAGATACTGTACTTAAATTCTAACTGCTATACTGACTTTCAAATTTTAAATCCGAAGTATTTGGTCCACCTTTGGATGGAATGTGCTGCTCATTTGCTTTCCTCAAGTGCAGGTCTTCTGATGTGTTCTAGAATCTGTCCTCCCTTGTTTGTGTAAATGTCACTCCACACATAACTTTCCGTCATTAACCCATGCCCTCTTTTCAAAATGTGGGTACAGGAGTGTTTTTAATATATTGTACAGCATTAAGTTTGAACTTTCCTGGAGCAAGTGATCTAGTCTCAAATTAACTGTGGCACTTCTTATAATCTACCTAAATCAAAACAAAAAATTTCAAAGTTTAATACAGTTTGCAGTAAAATGAAAGTGTCATCAATAGTATGGAGAGCTCAAAAAATACAAACATTAAATTTGGCAAGGATTTATTAAGAAGCTTATTAGTCACAGTGAATAAAAGCCATGAACAGAAGAACTCAAGAGACCTCCAAATTCTGGCACTGAGCTTACAACACAAGTTAGAAGCTAATAAACATGAAGGAGGTTCCCATGGAATCTTAACTAAGTCTCAGTCTTAGACCAACCAGGTTACCCACAAACACAGAAATGATTCCCATGCTCTCCCCAGATTGCTTAGCTAGGCAGCAGGAAAGACCTTTCCCCCCAAGCTACCACACGTCATCAAGAGACTTCTGCCTTTCTGGCTATAACCATGGAATACTTGTGCATGACAGACAACTCCAAGCTGGGCAACTTGACAAGAATGCTGAGCAGTGACAGGGACGCATAAGCAGGGACAGGGTTTCTAGTTGGGAGACCCTCCTGATGGCTCAGACACACAGTCCTGAGGCTTCAGAAGGTTGTCTACAGCCCAGGAGTTTCCATTATTTAAAAACAAGTCACACAAAAATCCTGCCACAAAGCAAGACACTTGGGCTTCCATGGCCACACTGGCTGGAAAAGCAAGCATTATCCATGACTGACAGGTGCCACCCAACCCAAAACCTGATTTCTGTAGTGCTCTACAGAATAGTGGTGTGGTGTCTTCCATAGGCCTGGTTTTTGCATCGAAACCCAAGGACAAGGCTTCGGCAGAAGCTGTGGCAGCCAACTTGTGCTGGAGCCGCACTTCCGTCCTTCCCAGCAGGCAGTCACCCTCCTCACTGACACAGCACATCTGTGGGAGCCCGGGCTAACTTTAGGAAATGAAGTGTGTCTGTGGGGTAACCTGCTGGACTCGGTGGTCTGCCGGGTTGGCTGACGCTTCGTAGTTGCAGATGGTCACCTCATGTCGCCGAAGCTACAAGAAAACAAGAGGCTGGGTCAGCCAGCCAGAAAAGAACTGTCCTTTCCCAGAGCATATATGGAGTGGCCTCAGTCAGGTTCTCTTCTAGAGTCATTTCTAAAGCTCCCCTCTTCATCCTGACAAGCCCGTCGATAAGATCATTATCAAGGATTAACCTAACTGGGAAGCCCCACTTCCCCACCCATTTCTTTTTTTTTTGGTACAGGAGATTGAATTCGGGATCTTGCCCTTTCGAGGCAGGCAAGCGGCACCACTGAGCTAAATCCCCAGCCCTTCCCCACCCATTTCTGCCCTAATGAGGGTACCACAAGAAGAGAAAGCTGTCTAGCTCATTTATCATCTTATCTCTAGTGCTTATAACAAGATCAAGGATTTTTCTTTTTTTTGGTGCTGGGAATTAACCCAGGGTCTCATGTATACTAAGCACATGCCGTTGATCATATATGATGAAAGAATTTCAAAGTGAAGAACTGTGCATTGATTTGAATTACACAATATCAACCTATTAAAAATACTTCTGTCAAATGAGAACAGTTTATAGTAATTAAAACAAGAAAAATTACAGACAGACAGAGCAACTGATGCATCACTTGCTCTTCTTTCCCCTCCAACAGCACCTGCTGTACAGGGTGCAGATACACATTTATCAGCCTCCTCTTACCTCAGTCCATTCTCCTCTCAGGCCAATATAGAAGACCTTTGTGGTATCTGCTCCAAAGTTTTTTGAAATATGAATTGAGAGATGATAGACATTTGAAAAACGGGAAATTCTGGAGCATGAAAAGGAGGGAGAGAAGACACAGGTTACTGACCAGCAAGCATCTTGCCACCAGGGAAAACAACTTTCAGTACCAACTTGTGGTAAAACCCAGGCAAATGTCAGAGAACACTCTTGGGCTCCTCTCTGGACAAGCAATTAATTCAGAGAACAATTGCTGAGTATCTGCCAGATCCTGTCCAAGGCAACAGAATAAACACTACCTGCAAGGACCAGGAATGAGAACTGCTGTGTGACCAAGCAGGGACTCTAAAGGGTGTTTAGTGTTGACAAAACTAATGAAAAGACAAAAGTAATGAAAAGATAAGGTGGCCACGTGTAACTCAGTCTCTGTAAGCCCACTATCCAAAGAGGAATTCCGAAAACATGCTTCCCAAGACCAACCTAAGAACCCATCCATATCTGCCAAGCGCTTACAAGTTAGTAAGTCTGTGGCTTGCACTGACTCTCTGCCAAAAATTGACCAAGCCAAGGATCAAGCCTCCTCTTGAGTTTTGACTCATTTCTGACGCTGAGAGCAGGAAACTGGCCAAAAATAAATAGAGAGCCACAGAGAACAGAAGTCAAGTCCTGTGCTTACTTTGTAGCATACTCTAATTCTCCTGTAAGATCCCGGTTCAGACTAAAGGTCTGATCTGGCTCCCTTTCTGTATCATCAAACGACATCTGTGGAATGTTCTTGTACCTGGGAAAGGGAAGAAAAGTCAAGAAACATGCATTATCACATCTTTCAGTTTTTCAAAACTTCTTATTGACTGCTCAACTGTCTTCAGTCGTAGCAGAAAGAGATCAAACTTTGGGGTCAAGTTTTAGAAATGCCATTTTATTGACAGTTGCATATAAATATCTTTTAGCTAACAAGAAAAGAGCAGAGAGCTGGGTGTGGAGGGACACACCTATAGCCTCAGCTACTTGGGAGGCTGAGGCAGAAGGATTGCTTGAATCCAGGAGTTCAGGGCTAGCCTGGGCAACATAGCAAGATCTCTTATCTTAAAAAAAGAAAAATAAATAATGAAGTAAGAGCTCAAACTGCAACCTAACTCAGTGTTATCTGAGTGGGTTAAAATCATAAGAAGCAATACAAAGAGACAGCTCAAAGGTCACATGGAGCAAATGCATGGAAAAAATAAGCAACTCAGCACAATCAGACCACACTGAGGATGTGAAATAAAACAGCTTACTCGTGGGAAGAGAAAATACATACTTTGGCAGCAACATATTAAACACAGTTAAGAGATGAGATCAGGTAACCTTACACTCAAGCATTTATGTGTCCAAAAATTACCCAATACACTCAAGTCACCTTACAGCTCTTAGATGATACAATCCGGGGATTTCTGTTTCAAAAGAGCAAAAAGGCTGCAGATTCAAAAAAGGCTGTAGAGGGCCGGGGATTTAGCTCAGTGGTTCCGCTGCCTGCCTTGAAAGCGCAAGGATCTGAGTTTGATCGCCGGTACCAAAAAAAAAAAAAAGGCCGTAGAAAGTTAAAACTGCTAGTGAAAAAAATATTTGTTAAGGAAAAGTCTAAGAGACAGCAATCTATAACACTCCAATTTGGAGGACTAAGGCACATATCCCAGCGACCTCCCTGGTGTTTTATTTACATACCCACATGGGAAGAGCCTAGATTTTAGGTGCAGCAAAATGTATGTAATTTAAGAAGGCCAATGTTTCCTTCAAAGTGTTTTAAGAATGATGCACAGCAGAATAATAAGACTGCACATTTATGAGCAGCATTATGAGAGGCAGTGTAGCACTGTAGTTAAAAGCAGTGTCTCAACCTACAGAATGGCAGAAAATATCTGCATACTATTCATCTGACAAGGCATTACTATCCAGGATATACAAGGAGTGATCAAATGTACACGATGAAAGTTTAAAAACTTTATTATAGTAAAAGGCACACTGTCATTAATCCTCCTCAAAATACTCCCCCTCACTTCAAATACACTTATCCCATCATTCTTGCCACTTTCTGAAGCAGTTCTGAAGTCCTCTTCCATGAGTTTCTTTAGGAGGTATGTTCAAAGCTATGGTGAATGCTGCTGCTGAGTGCCATCTAACTGAAAGACAGGTTTGTAAAAATATTACAGTGTGTCTTTATCCACCTTATTCACTAGATCTGGTACCTTGTGACTTCTGGCTTTTCTCCAAAGTCAAAATGACCATGAAAGGGCTAGGGATTTAGCTCAATGGCACCACATCAGCCTTGCAAGTGCAAGGTCCTGAGTTGGATCCCTGGTACCAAAAAAAAAAAAAAAGACCACGAAAGGTAAACATTTTGAATCAATGCAAGACATAGAGGCAGCCACGAGAGCACAATTAAGGACAGAAGAAAAGACTTCCATAACTGCTTCAGAAAGTGGTAAGAACTACAGGATAAGTATATTTGAGGTGAGGGGGAGTACTGTGAGAAGAATTAATGACAATGTGTCTTTTATTGTTTTTTTAAATTTTGTTTTGTTTTTTGGTACTGGAAATTGAACTTGGGACCTTGTGCTTGCGAAGCAGGCAGTGGAACCACTGAGTTAAATTCCCGGCCCTTGTTTTGGTTGTTTTGAGACAGGGTCTCGCTATGTAGTTTAGGCTGGGCTTGAACTCACAGTGATCCTCTTACCTCAGCCTCTTGAGTGCTGGGATTATAGGCATGCACCACACCTGGCTTTTGCTATAATAACTAAACCCAGCTTTTGCTGTAATACATTTTTCAAAATTTAAACACATACTAGCTTTCTTGTTTTTCCTTTTTGAAATGGGGTCTTGGTATGTATTTCAAGCTGCCCTTGAATTCACTATGTAGCCCAGGCTAGCCTCACACCCACAATGATCTTCCTGATTCAGCCTCCCAAATGCTGAGATTACAGGCATGAGCCACCATGGCCAGCTTAAACACAAAACTATTTTTTGATTATACTGTACCTCATATCTAGAACTCAAAACAACTCAATAACCAAGGTGTAGTGGCACACACCTATAATCCCAATACTCAAGAGTTTGAGGCAGAAGGACTGCCACAAATTCAACGCCAGCCTCGGCTACACAGTGAGTTCAAGGCATCCTGAACTACATAGTGGGATCTTGTCTCAAAATAAAAAACAGGCAAATAATCTGAACGGATGCACCTCAAAACAAAACATGCAAATGGCCAACAAGTATATGAAAAATGCTCATTGTCACTAATTATCAGGGAAATGCAAATCAAAATTACAGATATGATTTCACTCACTTCTGGGTAGTTATTATCAAAAAGACAAAAAATAAATGCTGATAAGGATGGGAAGAAAGAGAAGCTTTCATACACCACTGATGGGAATATAATTTTGGACTCCCACGGAAGATTCTCAAAACATGCGATACAGAAGTACCATATGATCCAAGAATTCCATTACTGGGTTTACATCCAACAATAAGAAAATCAGCATTTCAAAGAGACATCTGCACTCATGTTTTTATTTATTCCAACATTATTCACAAGAGCCAAGATACAGAATCAACCTAGGTGTTCATTAATGGATAAATAAAGAACACGTAGTTCCATACACTATGCAACATTGTTCAGCCATAAAAAAGGATGAAATCCTAACATTTGTGGCAACATGGGGCGAGCCTATGTTAAATGAGTCAGGCACAGAAAGACAAATACTACATGTGAGACTTCTCTGTAGTTCTCACTTATCTGTAGAATCTATAAAAGTTGGTCTCGTGAAGTACAGGGTAAAACTGCTTACCAGAGGCTGGGAAAGGTGAAGGATGAAGAGATGGGCAGAAGATATTTAATGGGTACACAGGGATGCAGCTGAATAGGAGGAAGAACCTCAAATGTTCTGAATAGCACAGTAACATCACTATGGTTGACAATTGTACAGTTCAAAACAGGTGGTAGAGAAGAGTTTAGTCTTTTGGGGGTACTGAGATTGAGCCCAGGACTTCATCCATGCCAGGCAAACACTCTACCCTTGAACACCATCCCAACCCTATAGAAGATTACTTTTCTTTTTCTTTTTTTGGTACCAGGGATCAAACTCGGGACCTTTTGCTTTCAAGGCAGGTGGCAGCACCACTGAGCTAAATCCCCGGCCCCACTTTTCTTTTTGAGAAAGCATCTCACTATGTATTCAAGCCACCCTTGAATTCACTATGTAGTCCAGGCTGACCTTGAATTCACAGTGATCATCTTGCCCTAGCCTCCCGAGTGCTGAGATTGCAGGTATGCACCACCACACCAGACAAAGGATTCTGAATGTTCTCAACAGAAGGAAATGACAAATATTTAAGTGATGGACACACCAATCATCCTGATCTGAACATTACACATGGTATATATTTGTTGCACTATCACACTGTAGCTCATAAAAATGTACACTTATTATGCGTCAACTAAAGTCAAATTAAATAAAAAGCAATGTCTTGAGCTAGACTCCTAGGTAGTGATAGCAAACCTTTTAGAGTTTTCAGTGATAACAAACAGCCAGCTGTGGCACTCTTGCCTTAGGTTCGCCACTACTGGTCTACAGCCTACAGCCTCTATCACTTATCAGCTATGTAATTTGAGGAAATGATTTGTGTCTCAGTTTCATTATCTATAAAATGTAGATAGTGATAGTATGAATTCCATACAGCTAATACAGAGACAAACTTGAATCAATTTTTTTTTTTCTGATACCGGGGATCGAACTTGGGTCCTTGCTCTTGTGAGGCAGATGGCGGAACCACTGAGCTAAATCCCCAGCCAACTTGAATCAATTTTAAGAGGCTGATATATTTGTTTGTTTGTTTGTTTGTTTGTTTTTGGTACCAGGGATTGAACTCAGGTCCTTGCACTTGCAAAGCAAGCAACAGAACCACTGAGCTAAATCCCCGGCCCTGTGCTATGTATTTTAAAGCAATCATAGATGTACTATTTTATTCATAAGTACTTCATAATAACTTATGCCATTTTACCCGTAAATACTTCAGTATGTAAGGACATCTATTTTGGGGGTTTGTTGTTGTTTTGTTTTATGAGATAGGATCTCATTATGTAGCCCAGACTGGCCTGAAACTTTCGATCCTCCAGCCTTACCCTCCTGAGTGCTGGGACTACAGGCATGTACTATCATGCTGGCTAATAAGGACTTTAAAAAACATACCAGGCCTGGGATGTAACTCAGTGCCACCACACCTGCCTGGAAAGCGCAGAGTCATGAGTTCCATCCCTGGTACTGGGGGTGTGGGGGGGCGGGGGGGAGAAAAGAAAAAACATACCAGCCAGGTGTGGTGTTGCATGTCTGTAATCCCAGCACCTGGGAGGCTGTGGGAGGAGGATCACTGTGAGCTCGAGGCCAGCCTGGGCTACACAGTGAGTTAAAGGCCAGCCTGAGCTACACAGCAAGACCCTGTCTCAAATTAATTAAATTAGTTAAATTTTAAAAACATATCTATTGTGCTCGCTTCAGCAGCACATATATTAAAAACATATCTATGATACCATTTCATAGTAATTAACAGTATTAGCAATTAACCAAGTTGTAATTCCTTTTTTTTCTTTGCACTTGGGATCAAAACTAAGGCCTCAAGCTAGATAAGCATTCTATCACTGAGCTATTACCTCTAGTATCAATAATTTTTTAATATCATGTAGCA